TTTTAAATATTTTATTCTATTTTATTATAAAAACATTTGTTATTTTGATCTTATATGTGTTATTCCGAAAATACTCCTGACTTGGTAGGGTCAACGGTCATCAAGACGGAAATGGTGACGGAAAAGTGAAAAGAGACAAAAAAAGTTTCAAAATGAAATGTAAAGGCTCAATCTATATACATGTTGATGTAGGGGACCAAAATTTAAATTCGGACAAATGTAGGGCGCCATTTAAACATTTTTTATTTTGATCTTATATGTGTCATTCCGAAAATACCCCTGACTTCGTAGGGTCAACGGTCATCAAGACGGAAATGGTGACGGAACAGTAAAAAGAGACAAAAGAAGTTTCAAAATAAAATGTAAAGACTCAATCCATATACATGTTGATGTAGGGGACCAAAATTTAAATTCGAACAAATGTAGGGGACCATTTATACAGTTTAGTCTAATGTATATTCAGCATTTAGATTTTGCAATTTTTTTTTGAAAATAGAAATCGATTAGGAAGAAAGTGTGGCAACCAGTGTTTGCAGGATCATGATCCTACGTAGGATCGAAATGGGGTCATAAGATCGAATCGTAAACGAGATCGGTAGGATCGTAAAATTAATTATACATGTTATATAATTAATTGCTTTGATAATTAGACTTCAATTATCTTTACATAAAGTATTTAACATTTAAACGAAAATAATTGTGTAAATTCAATTTTCTTATATGAATTTTTTCATAATTTTTTAATAAAAACTCTTCTCTTATAGTTCTTCTTTTCATTTTATTAGAAAAACTTTCTAAAATATATTTTTCTTAGCAATAAAAGTTTCCTCAAGGAATATTAGCCTCAATTGAATATGAACCAAAAAAAAAAAAGAGAAAAGAAAAATCTTAATAAGCTCAATTATTTTTTTATAATTGATGAATAGTAACTCAAACCAATCCTACAATCCTGACCGATCCTGTACGATCCTAACTGATCCTACTTCGATCCTATTGCAAAATTTGAGTTTGATCGATTCATGATCAATTTAGGTACCGATCTTACGATCCAGGATCGCGAGTTTGCAAACTATGGTGGTAAGAGTGGATTGCCAAATTAGTTTTTTCAAATCAGGAATATATGCTGCAGTAACCTAATGCAAGGTATAGGATGATACGAACACTTCCAGAATGATTCTTCAATCAGAATTCAAGTAACTTTGAATTTCTTATAGTATTTCCGTCTCAAAGTATCAGTTATCATCTATTAGTTGAATATTTTAGCAAACACGATTTTATTTTATTTATATGATTTCTTTGAACATGTTACGTGAAATAAGAACAGCTATAACTTTAGGATATATACTCTATGATTATCACTAATCAGACAAGTGTTGATGAATTTTTTTTTTTATTCGCTTATAATAAAAAGAAGAGGACTACTCAATAATTAGATTCTGATCTTCTTTTGTGTCTTCTTCTTCTCCTTCTTTTTTTTCTTTTTTTTTTTTGAGAAAATTAGATTCTGATATAATTCTTCAATTTTGCAACATCAAGGATAAATGGCAAGCATAGATTAATAAGTATATATATGGAGAAAGTCAAACCCGCGACAGGATTCATTTAATTTATTAATTTTCTGAAGGGTTAAATCTACGAAATTCTAATTGCAGGTGCTAGAAGACAAAAAACCACAGTCAGATACGTGTGCATGCACAGCGCACGTGGAGTAATGGACTTAAATAACAATAGTATAAATGGGGGAAAAGAAGCAGTGTTCACGTGAGCCATGTCAGCATGCATATTAGTAGGAAACTTTCAGACGCCGGTGATCTCACGTCGATGCCGCCGTCGAGAATTTTGATTTTACAGTTCATCGGATCATGTGAAACTGTGAAGTGCCACCCTGGAGCCTCCTCACTACACTGATCAAATAGCTCACAAAATCAAACTTGTCGCACCAAAATAGTTAACAAATTAATTAGTATCTACTATCTACACACCTAAACTAACTAATTTAGTTAAACTACATCATTTCAACTATCATGAGTTTCTCTTTGAAGTTGCTCTCTCCGTTCCAAAATGATTATTCATTTTAGATTTTCACTTTCAGTCTGAAAGTGAAAATCCGAACTGGACAATCATTTCAGGACGAAGTAAATATATATATACAACTACTCATTTTTAAAATTTATAGTACACAATATGTCACTAACATAATTAGTGAGAAATCAAACTATGACCTCCGAGAGAGTTCTTTTTACTTTTTCCAATACACAGAACAAAAAAAATGAACAAGTCAATCCTTTCCACTTATTCTTTAGATGATTTTTACTGTCTTATCTGAAATAATTTGATTATTCATTCATTCGGTTTACTAAAAGAAATTCAAGTCACGCAATGAAGGATAAGTTTAGTTACTCGCGAATGTATATTCAAGAAGATTGATGATAAGAACAATTTACTACAGAAGGAAAATATCAATCACCATCTTTATTATTACTTTCGTCCCAAAAAAATAGTCATTGAAAACTCAATGACTATTTTTTTGGGATGGAGGTAATATTTTTTTTTCCCCTTTTTAAGGAGATGACCAAAACAACTCAAATGACAAATGTGAGGGTTTGGTATGTATCTCATCATCTTATATTGGAAAGGAGGGAATTCGATTCCAGCTAAGAATAAAAAATGTATGACCCGGCATTCGCCAAATTACGCAGCAATAATAGAAGTGTCCACTCCACTTAATTCCGACTTGGTGCCGACTGCCGAATTCTTTCTCTTGGTTCGAACTTCATAAATAATGCATAGTAGTATTCATTATTAAGTCAAGCAGTAATTAGTAGGTAGGTAGCGGCTTCAGTAACTTTACCATAAAGGAAGCTGAGAAATAAATGAATTGATGAGGGGGAAATAATTCAGTTTAATTAATATATACTTCATGGATGACGCCATCCTGAAGAAACAGCAGCAGAAAGCAAGCAAAGAAGGGCAGCAAATTGAGATGACAAAGGCCCGCTGATGTGATGTGGTCCTTAACCAAACGTCACCAATGATCTCTAGATCTCTGTCGGTTCCCTTTTAATGCCAACCTTTGCCCTGATTTTCTGTGTTGTTGTTTCTCTCTCTTCCTCCTGCCTTATTAATACCTCCACCGCCCCCCAATAATTTGATGTCCCATCATTCTTCCCTTTGCAAAAAAAATCTATCAGGCCAGACTTCTGAAAGTAGACAATTGTCCCCACTTTCGTGTTTGGTTTCCTTACTATATTTCATTAGGAAGGGCCGTTAAGTGAAACAAACTTTAGCTCACGTACGTAATTCAAGACCGACATTAGAGATAAAAACTTCGATGATTCCCATCCTAATGTACTTATAATGTAACTATAATTCGTTTCCGTTCTGCTCTTTTTAGAGGGGAAAAATGGTCACACAATTGGCCATTGACAAAATCAGTATATTCGAGGGCTCGCTGTCTGTTATACTATTAAATAAAAACAAGTTTCTACAAAATTTATTAAGAAAACATCAAAATGATATTTACATTTAGTGCGGGTTTTCCTTTTTGGCAATAACCTTCAATGAGAGTTAGACGCATTAAGAAAATATATCGTCCATCATTTTTTTTTTCCCCTATAATGATAAATTGGAAAGGTCTGAGCATTTTTTTCGAGTGAAATAACGGGCTAAGACTTGAATAAATTAAAAATGACAAAGAACTGGGTTGGGCTGGAGTTAAGAATTGCATGAAAACAAAAAAAAGGGGGGGGATTGGGCTTCTCTAAACAGCCCATTTTTTTAATAAAATTTCCAGAAAACAAAAAAATGACCATTGTCTTCTTCCTCGAGTCCCTTTTCTGAAATTTTGGAGGTTGAGAAACATGACTGGAGCCTAGCCCCTAAGGGGCTCTCTGGCCACCCGGGGGCTCGAGACTCCGTGGGCCCCTTAAGGGTTCTGCCCCTAAGTAAAACTAAGATATCAATTAAAATTAAAATCGAGCCCCTTAGGTAAAGCTCGTAATTCAATAAAATGGGGCTCGAGGAGTATTGAATTACTATGTGTTTAAAAAAATTAGTCTACATTAAGTTTGAAAATTTGTTCCAGAAACACCCCATCACCAGCTAATTCGAGTTTGAAGTTAAACATAATCTCATTTTCAAGAGATGTTTCCAAGTGATATTCCACACGAGGCCAATGTCCGAGGTTGAGTCCAAAGAACGTCTGTACAGCATCAACATCCCAACCAATGCCATCATGACTAAGTTTTCTTTTCAGTCGCGCAGAAATTTTATGCTTTTGAATATCATTTTTGTCAAAATAGGCCCGAATGATGTAAACAAGGCCAAGGTCCCAATTTAAACAAAGTTCAGTGTCACGCATTGCAATATTTGACAGATTGTTCGGCCCAAAGTTTTGATGCAAGTCACGGGCTGAGTTGGGACGTTTTCTTTTTTTTTTTTTTTTTTTTTTTGGAAACCAGTTGGGAAGTTAAAATGTTGGCGTTCCCGCTACATAGTTACATTACTCGATGGGATTGGATAAAATATTGGGCCAAAATGGATATTACTTTTATCATAAAATCAACTGTGTGAGTTTGAGTTTTGAAGGCGGCCACTTTTATCAAAATGGATATTACTTCTATTAAAAATAATAGAATTTCTACCTGAAATAATCAATCCAACGAGTGCAAAATTGAAAAGTAATTTCAATATACTGATTCTTTTTTTTTTGATAGCTACTGATTGTTTAAAAATCACCCATATTTAGGATATTCCATGTGTTCTGAGTAGAAATCCCAAAAAACGAAGAAACTAGAGAATGTTCTGGAAGGGTCTAGAGGATTCTGAGATATCAATTCCATTCATTCTCCTGAGCAGTCACTAACCAGCGTACACGTGTCCCTCTGTCCCTACTCAATCTTTGACAGTATTGACTTGACGACAATTGACATCATTCACTTTCTACTCAGCAATACGAATATAATTAAATAAAATTATTAAAAAAACACACACACACACACACGCACACAAAAACTAACTAAAAAGTGAGCAGGAGATTTCCCAGAAAGAGAAACAGAAAGCAGTCATAATCTACCATATACAGTTTGATTAAAAATGGAAAAATCTAGCACAACCTCCATTCCTCCATCCCCCTTTTCCTAAATATCTTCTTTGTCTCTAGAAATTTCCACTCTAAACCCTTAAATTACCCATCGTTCACACTTTGTCCCCCCTCAGATTATCAGCTTACTCACTCACTCCACTCCACTTAAACTCATACTCTAATTAAAGGATTAACAATTCCGATTAAACTCTTTCAAAAAGATTGATTCACTGCGAGCTATGGAAGATGTGACGATCAAGGTTGAGGAAGATGGGGGCATTTCTGCCCTCCCATTTGGCGGCGGCGGTTCGTCGTCCTCCCCGCGGCCGATTGAAGGGTTGCACGATGTTGGGCCGCCTCCGTTCCTGACCAAGACGTTTGATATGGTGGAGGACCCTTCAACTGATTCTGTGATTTCATGGAGTGATGCCAGGAATAGCTTCATTGTTTGGGATTACGCCCAGTTCTCTTCTGTTCTGCTCCCCAGATATTTCAAGCACGGTAACTTCTCCAGCTTCGTTCGCCAGCTTAATACCTATGTAAGTTCATGATTCCCATTTCCAGATGTTTTACCTTATGTTGCTTGCTTGATTGCCCCAAAATTTTTACATGGGCTACTGCTGAATTTGCAGTTTTTTTAGTTTTTTTGCTTTACCTCTGTTATAGATTAGTTCTGATGGAACTTGAATGCTTTAGCCGTCTTTTTTTTGTTTGCTTTGAGGGATCTTAACAATGTGACTATTTCTAGTGGATCCATTTGGTCGGACTATTAGTTGATCAAATCACAGTGAATTTCCGAATGAAGATGCTGTCTTGCTCCGCTGTTACTGCTTGATTGTGTCCAGTCTCTCTGGCCTGAAGTTTAATTGCTACTACAGATTGGCGTGTTCGAAATGTTGAGTAGCTCTGCTGAAAGTTAGCAAGGATGTAGAAATTTACCTGTTTTTTCCTTGGTAATACAAGTTGTACGAATTTGTTTTAGCAGCACTTAAACGTGCCAGTATGATGATGTTCTAGAGATTTCTGGTGTGCTATTTCTTCTGCTATGGCTCCTGTCCAACTGTTACTTTCTCTTGAGTTTTTCTGAATGGAATATTGCAATTTTCATGAATGTGCTTGTGTGATGAATATTAGGCCTGGAATCTGTGATGGGTATATTTGCTTTTAGGAAGCTGACGATTCCATTGCGATAGTCTTGACTTTTAGAACATTCATGTATTCTGCTTTGTGTACCCGGAATATGTAATTGCAGGTGAATTATATGGCGATTCGATTAAAGGACATGTGATCCTAAATGATTTTCTTTGATTGCAGGGATTCAGAAAAGTTGATCCAGATAGATGGGAATTTGCAAATGAAGGCTTTCTAGGTGGACAGAAGCATCTTCTGAAGACAATCAAGAGGAGAAGGAACGCTGTTCCAACTGCAATTCCCCAGCACGGAAGAGGATCCTGCATTGAACTGGGTCATTATGGTGTTGAAGAAGAACTCGAGAGGCTTAAGAGGGACAAGAACCTGTTAATGGCAGAGATCCTAAAACTTAAGCAGGAACAACAAGCCTCCAGGGATCAAGTCAGTGCAATGGAGGATAGAATAAGGATTACAGAGAACAAACAGCAGCAGACAATGACCTTCCTTGCAAAAATGTTTGCTAATCCTACTTTCATGCAGCAATACTTGGAAAGGCATCGGCAGAGGAGAGAGCCAGAGCGAATTGACGTTGGCCATAAGAGAAGGCTGACAATGACCCCAAGTGAAGAGAATCTGGTGGAAGTGGCAGCAGTTGCTGTGGACGCAAATCAGCTTCTAGATGGCCCTAGTCGAGACTCAGAACTTGAGCGTATTCAAAGAGATATAGAGACCGTTCTTTTATCGGCAGCCATGAATGAGGAAGCTAGCAATGTAGTGGATTTGACTGCATCATCAATTCCAGCGAGCAGTTCCACCAATTTGGATGCTGTGGACGAAAACATCTGGGAAGAGCTACTCAGTGGAAATGACCCAGAAGTACTGGGAGGTGAAGACGAATCAGAGGTTGATGTGAAAGTGGAGGATTTGGTTGCCGAAACGCCTGAGTGGGATGAAGATCTGTGTGACCTTGTGGATCAGATGGGGTATCTCACCTCAACAGCTAACCACCACATCGATTAGAAACATAAAGCGGTTTTCTGGTCTTATTGATACCTTTTCCGTTTTCTTATGTATACGTCATTGTACTTGCCTTTGGCTGGCACTTAATTATGAGTTGATGACAATAGGTTGGAAGATGAAGAGTTCAAGGAGGCCGAAAACAGAATCAACTGGCTGCTGTGTATCCTTCTAGTATTTATGTTCAAGATCTTCTCTGTATTCTGAAATTCTTTGGTGATGAGATTTGTGAAGAAAGCTTATTTTGATTAGTTCTTTTCTCTTGTTGCACTTTGCAGATGAAGATGGCTGGGGGTTTCTCGATCAAATTTCGAGCAGTTTGTTTTGACTTGTACAGTCATTGTGTAGGATTCTTTTCCAGTTGAGGCTGGGCTAACTTTTTGTGTAGAGATTTCATTGCAATTGGAAAATGCTTTTTGTTTGGGGATAATACCCCTCCTTTTTTTCTTTTTTTTTTTCACTAGGATAATACCCCTCAAAGGCAATGCCAAGAGTTGAAATTTTTGAAGATATTTTCTTCATTATTATCATTGAAATGTGTCTTGTGAGATGAACACATTGCTATGACAATATCCTATCAATTTCAAGTATCCATCTGAAGTAACACTAAAAAATTTGAAGTCCAAACTCACCTAAGGTACACGATTTGTTGACTCCCATGTATGAATGAATTCACTCCAGAAGAATATGCTCTTTCAAAGTATTCATTCAGAAAACAAACAGAAACAAACAAGGTTAGCTGCCATATAGAGTTTGTTTATATAATCTACCAAGCGTCGACATGAGAGTGAAGAAATTTCCAAATTCAACATCATGGGAATTCGTTTGCTCATTATTAGTAAGTTAAAAGAAGAAGCAGCAGAAGCTACAATTCTGAAGCTGCAAAATCACTTGATTTTCAAGCAGCTTTAGTCCCTTCATCCAGTGAATGGCTCAACATTCGGCATAACCTCGCCAGAATTGAAGTCTCAGTTCTAGTTCGAGATATCCGAAAGCAATTTTATTTCATTTTTCCTTTTGCTCACATTTCGGGCATCCAAACGCAGTACATTTTCCCTCTCCAACAACATTTTTCTGTTTGAAATTAATCAAGCTCATTTGACCTTCTCTCCAATTTTTTTTCCTTTTTCTGCATCAATTTCACTTAGCCTTCTCTCCAGTATTCCTTCAATTTCAGTAACCTTAAACTTCCTTCATCTCCAGATTTTTCTCTCTAAAACCATTCTCCTGTTCTCTTCTTCTCAAAGTTTCCCCCACATCAAAATCAAGCTCCATCAGTCTTTTCTCAACTTGACTCTGTTTAAGTTACAGGACACCCCCAACTGAGATTCCTCCTCTTTTAGAACACGCCCTTTCAGCTTTTCCTTTTTCTCCGCAGACTCTCATTTCCGCAAATTCTTTGGTGGTGAGATTAGTGAAGACTGCAAGCAGTTGCTTTCACTTGTAGAATCGTTGTTTAGGATTATTTTACATTTGCGACTTGTCTAACTTTCTGTGTAGAGGTTACATTGCAACCGGAAAATGCAAGGGTCGGAAAATGTGAGGTGGGCTTAAGTTCTCTACTTTCTTCAGTATCATTGAAATTAGTCTGTCTAAGTAACAAACTTCAAGTCTACAAAGTACAAACAAAAGAGACATAAGATCCCATTGTCTCCTGGAACTATTCTATACAAAATTACTAGTATAATTTAGGTTAAGAAGAAAGTGGCAGCGCAACATGTAGGCAGCCTGTTTTAATAATGTGTTGTGAAATCTCCTCACACCAAACTTGTCAACCAAAGAGGAATTCCGGCATTTTCACTGAGATTTTGACTACAACTGGAACTGTCAGACAACTGGAACTCTCAAAAAGTACTGTAACTCACAGAAAGTACCGTCAAAGTTGTAGCGTTAGCAAATCCAGTTTCGGAACCAAAGTTAAAAGCTAATAAACTAGCTAGCGGGGACAACATAACAAAATAATAAACTTACGTTATTTACCATTGGACTTCATAAGAAAAATAACAGGCAAAAGACACTAACTAATGATCCCCCTCGGCTAAAAAATTTTGGAGGCTACCATAAATTGCATCGTCGATTTTTGTAGGAGAAGAATCAAGTTCCACAGGTGGGGTGGCCGTATATGTAGCCTCCGAAGTCAGCACTCGCCTGGTGATTGACCTCAAATATTCCAACTCGCTTGTTGCTGCATTATATACACTTTCCTCGAAGCTTGCAACATTTCCCTCCCAAATTGACAAGCCAATTGGATTTGGCAACCAATGTTAACGATTAAAATATCCGTCTTAAGTCTCTCAAACATCCTTTGCCTAATCATCTCCCGACGTTTGGGTTGCATCTCAGTCCTCCAATCATCAGTAGAGGCAATAGCTACAGCAGTCGCGGGCGGAGAAGCCATCCCCACGAATGAAGGATCAACTGAAGACAAAATAGATAACACCGATTAACATAGACTACGAATAGACAAAACACAATCAATACACCATTTGTAACATGCTAAACTTGGTAGTAAATCTTTAGGGATTGAATGAACTAAAAGATAAAGGGAACTCTTACATCCCAGAACCACGATAGAAAGTGAATGCCTGCCAAAGTTTGAATATTATGTGCCATTCGTAAATGATAAAACCATGCTTGTTTCGTGACTCATCTCAAGAAGAAAAATAGTATAGACACATACATACTAAGCACAACAATCCAAATAGCCATGAAGGGGTTACTCTAAACCATCTCACTAAAATTAGTAACCATTAATGCCATTACAGAGTGACTCAGTTCCCAAAGTGTAGGTAAAAAGAACTGAAACACCTTACGGATCACTTTGCTGCCTCAAAACATAAAACTTAATCAGAACCAGGAGTTCAGCAAAACCAACCCAAAATTATCCTATAGAACTTTTCATCACAAGATTGCACATTTATAAAGGCTTAGTTTCTCAATAAGCAAGAAACAAACTTTATTCACAAGTTCAAACCAAGTAGAGTTAGACACTGCATATTAATACAACCAAAAGAAATTCGCAAAATGACTTCCATAGCTTAGGCAGAGGAGAGGAAAATCATAGACTAAAATGTCCAAATGGTCCCTTATATTTGGGCTTACTTGATTTTACGTCCATAACATTAACATTTCAATATCGTAGTCCCAAACATTATATTTTCACACTTTTTTGGTCCCATTTCACTGTTTTGGCCACTTTTCTGTCCAACTCGATATTGACCAGTAGTTGACTTGCCGGAATCAGAGATATTTTCGTCTTTTGACTTAATTTAAACTTTCATTGAAATTTAAATCATTAAAAATATCATAAAATTCACATTTAATTATTTAATTGCTAAAATATTATTTATTAATTTAAAATATTATTATAAAATTTAAAACTTACATTATTTTAAAAAATTTCTTTTTCTATTTATCATTTATGCTGGATACAAAATAAATATCATTTACGTTCCATTTTTAACTCCATATCACTCAAAAATTTTACCGCGCTACAGTAAATAATTCAAAGTTCAATTTTTTGTTTAAAAAAAAAAAGCAAACTAAATTTTTATCTGAATTTTCACCTACCAATTTTTTATTCGGTCGAAGTAAAAAATCCAATGGGCCCAAAGGGAAGAAAATTGAGGGGGCGAAAATCCGGATAAAAAATGGTTTATTTTAATTTATAGTTTGAATTGGAGATATAATTTAAAATGTTGTTTTAGTGAAAATTCAAAAAAGTTGTTGGGATAAAAATTTAAATAAAATAATATTATCTATATATCACCACCTTCACACCTTCACCGACGCCGCCCGCTGCCGGACCACCTCCTGTCGCCGCCGACCGGTGACCGGCCAGCCGGATTATTTGAATTTTGAAAATTGTGGGGTGAAATTCGAATAGAAAATGGTTTATTTAAGTTTTTAGCTTAGTTATTGCTTTGAATTGAACATATAATTTAAAATGTGATTTTAGTGAAAATTCAAAAAGTTGTTGGGATAGAAATTCAAATAAAATAATATTATTTTTACACTACCACCTCCACCGATGCCGCCCGCTGCCGGACCGCCGCCGGCCGGCCGGATTCCAGCGAAGTCGTCGGAATCTCGCCAGAATCCGGCTAGCCGGTCGTCGGGCGGTGGGGGTCCGACGGCGGCAGGAGGTGGTCCGGCAGCGGGCGGCGTTGGTGGAGGTGTGGAGGTAGTGGTGTATAGATAATATTATTTTATTTAAATTTCTTTCCCAACAACTTTTTGAATTTTCAGTAAAATCACATTTTAAATTATATCTCCAATTCAAACTATAAATTAAAATAATCCATTTTTTATCCGGATTTTCGGCCCCTCAATTTTCTTCCCTCTGGGCCCGCTGAATTTTTTACTTCGACCGAATAAAAAATTGGTAGGTGAAAATTCAAATAAAAAATTTAGTTTGTTTTTTTCTTTTTAAACAAAAAATTGAATTTTGAATTAGTTACAGTAGAGCACTAAAATTTTTGAGTGATATGGAGTTAAAAATGGAACGTAATTAATATTTATTTTGTATCCAGCATAAATGATAAATGGAAAAAGAAATTTTTTAAAAATAATGTAAGTTTTAAATTTTATATTAATATTTAAAATTAATGAATAATATTTTAGCAATTAAATAATTAAATATGAATTTTATGATATTTTTAATAATTTAAATTTCAATGAAAGTTCAAATTAAGTCAAAAGACGAAAATATCCCTGATTCCGACAAGTCAACTACCGGTCAACATCGAGTTGAACGGAAAAGTGGTCGAAACAGTGAAATGAGACCAAAAAAGTGTGAAATATAATGTTTAGGACCACGATATTGAAATGTTAATGTTAAGGGCGTATAATCAAGTAAGCCCAAATGTAAGGGATCATTTGGACATTTTAGTCTTAATTTATTTTCTTTATTGGTTTAATTTTCAATTCAACCCCCCCTGAATAAGATTATTAAACTTCTCCTTTTGACATAAAAGGATCAAGTTCATCCCTTTGTAATCAGTTTAATCAAAATAGTAGTATAATCACTCTTCGTGTTAGTTGAAGTCTTGATGACTTTTTTTTTTTTTCAAAGGGCAACTCATCAAAATTGAAGAAACATTTTTCCACTGATACACTTCGTTGTCTCCCATCCCCAAAGAACATTCCTCATGTATGAATGATTCATTCCAACACCGTTTCCTCTTTCAAAGTATTCATCCAGTAAAACACAAAAGAAACAAACAAGGATAGAGGAAATAGAGAGTCTTCTTCAAACACGCTTTGAAATCAGCTTGGAGAACTTTCCAATTTCAACATCATGGAAACATGAAAGAAGAAATGGAAATGCAAAACACAAAACTTACCAATTGTTCTGAAAACTGACCCAATTGAAATGAGAACTAAATTCACATATGTAGCCAACTAACTATATGTACTAAGCGCGCACTACAGCGGCTGAGTTTAGCTTCACCATTAGCCTAAATTAGATTAAACAAAAGAGATGGAACTTCACTCCATTAAATTTGTTATATGTAGCAATTAGCAAACCTTATTGGAGTCGACGAGGTAAGCATTTCACGTCAAGTTCAAAAATGCTGTTCGAAACACCATTTCCATCACTCTTGATAGAGGGCACTTTATGTGAGAACCTGTAGAAACTATCAGGCAATATGTGAAATGAACCATCAATGTTCTTGTTCCTCCCCTTGTTGCTTCTCCGCTTAAATGATCTCGCAGATCCTGCGATTCTTTCCAAGTAAACAACTCTGACAGCCCAACGCTCATTCCTATCACATGGCAGAATCTCCACAATATCATAGTGGCAACCTTTAAGAATTTCTGCATCAGAAGTCCATGTAATGATATTCCAATCCTTATAGATCGCCCAAGTTTCTCCTTCACAAGGCATTATATCGGCAGGAAAATTTTCAGCACAAACAGCTACATGAGAGAAAATGACAGAAGACTCAACACTTGTTCGCCCACGTACAAAGGTTCCACAAGTAACGGGCAAGCCAGCGCGTATCCACTCCTGCTCCAGTTTCTTCATTGAACAAGGTTTCAACCATGTGACCTCAAGCCTAGTTTCTCCACCTTCGTGAACAATGCCAGTGATTTCAGCATGTGATCTTGGTGTAAAATCTTTTGCGTCAAAACACGCCCAAATTTCTCCAACATTAAAGGTTCTTTCTTGTTTTCCATTCTTGACACTAGTAAAGCTTGGATCCTTAACAGGGTCGAAATTTAATTTAGCCATTGAATCTGATTCAGGTTCATAATCATCACGACGTATATTAACTTCTTCTGTTATGTGTGCTTGTGACATACAATGTGTACCTAATATCAAAAGATGATGGAGTAAAGTATTGGACGATTATAAAGCTGGAAACGCAACAAAAATCACACCTATAAATTGGATATAAACCATTAAATAATCAAAATATTGGACAATTATGAAGCTGGAAACAGAACCAAAATCCCATCTATAAATTGGATAAAACATTAAATAAAGAACAGAATCTGAATCAAAAGCAGTACCTGAATTTTGAAGACCAGGAGCTTCAATTTGTCCCATTCGTCTGTGGCGAATGCAACTGCTTCCTTTACCATGCTTGTTGCTATTTTCTTGCAGGTTTTTGTCTTGATCAGCAGGATAATCTCTTTTCCTTCCTACCCTCCTGACTTCTGCTTCTCCAGGGCATTGATGGAAGAAATTCTTAATGGAAAGAAGTTCAAACTTACTACTACTTCCCAATGTACCCTCATTAGCTTCAAGTTCTTGTAAGATATTCACCAGCTTTTCGACTCTCAGTTTGATCTCATTTTCCCTGGTTTCAAGTTGTTTTGTAAGTTTTGCTAGCAATTGATCTCTCGAGTTGATTTCATTCTCCCTTCTATTCATTCTTTCGGCTTCTGAACCCAGTACATTTGCTCTTGCTTCCAAATGCTTCTCCATTGAATCAATCCGAAAACTCCTTTCCGCCAACCCTTTCTGGTTAGAAACAACCTCATTTGACCTTCTCTCTAACTTCTTCTCTTCAGAATCGATTTCTTTCTGCCTTCTTTCCAGCAATCTCTCTGTGGCAATGACCTTATCTTCCCTCAACTTCAGGTTTTTCTCCTTCAAATCAGATTCATCTTCTCTTCTACTCAAAGCTTTTGCCATCAAATCAAGCTCTAGCTCCCTTTCCGACACTCGACTCTGTTTCAGTTTCAGGGCACCCAGAATCGGCTGTTCTCTCAGAACCAGATCCTTCAGCTGTTCATCCAAAGATCCTCTCATTTGCTCAAATTGCATTTTCCCCAATTCAATTTCTCGCAAAACCCCTTTGAGATACATTTCTTTCTGATCCAATTTCATTAAGCCCGCCTCAACCAACCTTCTTTCTGAGCCAAACTCCTCAACCCTTTTGTTCACCGATTCCTCAACAACCCTTAAATGTTTCTCTTTTGAATCAAGCTCATCGGAACAACCACGGTAAAGATTCTGCGAAAGTTTCAGATGGCCCCCCGCATCCTGCCATTCAAGCATTAGCAAGCCCATAGCACTATGCAGTTCATCCTTCTTCCCTCCGGCAAGACTTAGGGCTTGGGACAATTTCTTCAAAGATTCCATCTTTCTTTATCAGATTTTCAGAAGCATTTGATTTTTAGTCAAAGCTTTTAGTTTTTCTTTTTCTCTTCCCTAGTACAAACAAAACGTAGTAGTAATTGATTTTGATGAAAAGGAGCAGCTTTCTGCACTTTCCACAATGCTCTGATTGGACATGTTGATTGTGTGTTTGATTAGATTAATGACGTCATGGCTTCGATTTTGAACTTTCTTATAAACTGTATGTTTATTTTTAGGAAACACTTGACGGTTGCAGTTGTAGCCAAAACTTCGAGGATTAATGAGTAGTGATATGGGTAGGAAAATAATGAGAAGAAATAAGTATGACAAATTATGGGTAAATCATCTATAATTTTTTTTTTTTTTTGGTATGTTTTATATGGACATACCTCAAATGGAAAATATACAAAATGAATGGATGTGATATTTTTTCCTGTATGTATCACTATTCAAAAAGTAGTTCATACTGATTCATATATGGATTGGTAGTTTATACTAATGCATATAGGGATTGGTGTCGTTGGCACCCTAATTCAACCTTATCTTTTTGTTCATTGTTGCAAAGGCGTTGGTAATAATCGAGTGTTTGCCTAACTATCGTCAAGAATTAAAAAAGGACTCCCTGCATCATAAGAGCTACTCCTATGTATATATTGTGACTAACAATATCTTATTGTGAGTTGTGGCACCTATAACATTTCATATCCTAGGTAATAGTTGTGAGCAGACAAGATATAATGGAAATGTATTGTTTAGCTTATAGTTGTATGAGATGTAATAGCTTAAGTACTTTATTTTAATAAAATGGGTTTTTTTTAAAAAAAAAAAAACATATATACTCATGCCCCTATATCATATCCTCCTTTTCAGGATAGTGTGTTTTTTTACTTGTTTCTTCTCTTCAGTATAAGTTAGTGACGATGTACCCGTCTTGATGTTGTTTTTCATTATATAATGCCCGCTTGAGTGTATAATCTTTCTTTCTCTGATGGAAAAATAGTACAGAAATTGTGCCAAAAATAATTGACGTTGGCAGATCTCCACTCCCAATGTCACTATAGTGATATCATATACCACTTCTATGTGCACAAAATAATTGGCAGGTCCACTCCCAATATGTTATTGCTTTGTAGGCATTCTTTAGTCGTGTGATTGCAAGTTTGCAAATCACTGTTCTTTTGAGGTTTTATTTTTAACATGTAATATAATGTATGTTAAAAATAAAAATTTAAACTAAAAAAATCAATTTGAAAGGGAAAGAATAACGTATTTTACATTTGTCAACTTCATCTAGTCAAAAATCAAAAAGTAATTTGCTCATTCACATGAAGAAAATTATAATTTTTTCGTTACCAAAATATTTAGGGCTTGTTTCGCCAACATTTTGTTTTAGTTTTTGTTTTGGTTTTTTATGTAGGTTTGAAATGTGATTTAAAATATGGTTTGAACTAAAACTTAAAAAATTGTTTGAGTGATATTTTAAATAAACCAATAATATTATTAGACCACCATCGAACCACCTCTACCACCGGCACCACCGGTACATCGCCTACCGTTGCCGTCTGACCGTCGCCGACCGACCAGATTCCGGCCAACTAGCCGAAATTTGGGCGGAATCCGGTCGGCAATCGTCCAGCAGCGGCGGTGGGCGGTCCGGTGGCGGCGGGTGATAGTGGAGGTGGTCTGGTAGTGGTGGACGAAAATTGTATAAAAATAATTTTTAGAATATTTTTTAAAAGGTAAATTAAAAAGTTGTTTGGATGATATTGGGATTTGTGTTTGAGAAATGTTTTAAGAGGTGAAATGAGATAAAAATGCAAAATAATTATTGGCCAAACAAGCCCTTATCTTTTTTGGTCATTCACATTTCACTTTTACTCCTTTTTCACCTAATTAATTTAGTGAACTCGTGTAATCTATAACTTATCAAATCGTAAACTGTTTATTTATTATACAAAAAAATACCGGATTAAAGAAAACGACATCTTACCTTACGGGGCTTCAATCTTACCTTTGGTGAGACTAACGAAATTTAGTCAACTAACTAGAGTTAGGAGAACGATCAGTATGAAGTCTAAACTCTGAAGTCTGAATAAATTTTTATTTTTTTTAAACCAGCCACATTAACTAAAATATTTTTTTTTTCTGCAAATGATTCATTATTATTTCTTGTGTTACTTTCTAGGATCTCAAAATGGAGAACTAGTGTCAGAAGGTGATAAGCAGTCACGTTTCTATTTTTTTATAAGATTAGAGTTTGATTCTCACCTCTAACGTATCAAATATCGTAATTTAAAAACAAAAATTTCAAAATGTAACTTTCATTTATCTAAATATTTTAAACCTAGGCTCTGAATCGACGAACAAACATTTTGATTACGTCGACATGTTATGTAATCTTTATGCAGTGTCCGAATGGTACCAGATGCTTTTTTCAATCCAGAAAACAAAAGAGACAACAAAACAAAAGGATAGGTTAATATTTGAAAGAATAAGTCCTACCTTATCAAATTAAAGATGTATACACCAAAGCAGATGACGAATGCCAGAGTTTCCATGGCTTTGTAAATTGTAATATGAAATTATATCATAGAAACAAGACAACCTTAAAATAAACGAATCTCACCCAAATGCCATAATCTTTCCAAACTAGCATATTCTTGCAGTCTCATCGAATTATATCCAAATTGCAGAGAACTATATATTAATTGGCTTAGGTTCACCCCGCACTTTCTTCCTTCTTCCCTATCTGGGCTGCGTTTGAAACAATTTTTTGAGTTTTGACTATAAAGAAAGTTAATAAATTAGAGAATTATTGGAGGGGGAGAAAAACCTTAACTAGTCTTTTCCATATTAATAATGATACATAACTCTTAAGAAAAAGATTTTGTCTGTGTTTTCAAAACCGAACCGACCAGGGCGGTCTAACCGGTTAGCCCGGGAACTGGAATCCTCATCAGTTCGGTTTTCATAAAAAATCAGATTCTGTATAATCCGATCAAACTCGGTCAAATGCGGATAAAAATTGGGATTTGACCGAAAATTGGTACTACCGGTTAAACCGATTTTTGCATATATTTCTTAAAAAATTAATTTTTAAATTTTTGTAATATTATTTTAACCAATTTTTACTGAATTCGAGGAACGAACTAACCCGTTAGCCCAATAAATCCACCAACCTGGTCACGCTAATGGTTTACCTTCCGGTCCGGTTTTGAAAACATAGGATTTTGTTCATCCCTTTCTTTGAGCCAATAATTTGACAAGACACATATTGTTCATATCTATCTTTACTCATTTCTTTGATTTGCCAAAATAACGCCAAAAAAAGAAAAGGAAAGAATTAAAGGATTTTTGTTTCTAAAAGACAACGAGTGTGTAACGTACTAGTATATCATTATTTCGTTCTCTAAAAGTCTTTTCATTAGGTTTATGATATCAGTCGGCCATTACGACAAAAAGATGCCTTTCCATTTGACCTTTGTTTTGATGGTTTACTTGGATACTGGCCATGACTAATTGTTGTTTGACCTCATTTGCTAATGACGACTCTCCATTCTCAACCCACCGTTGTTCAATTTTGATTTAGTTTCAAATTTTGGATTAAGGTATTTGAAAATTAAGGAATTTCTTAACAATAATTTATTAGTAAAGAGACCACTGGAACCAATAACAGTAAAAACTTGAATATCGAATTTTTTAGAAACTGCATAACTCTTATCATTGATAAAGTACGATCTGAACATTTTTGTAAGAAATGACACATTAACATTAGCAAACTCAAATATGACTTGCAAATTCACCATATATAAAACTTTAAGATCTATATTTCACGATGACTTTATTAAAAAAAAATAAAATTGTGTTTTAACCCGTGAACACAAAATAGAACCAGATTCAAATGTTAATTTTGTTTACTACTAATTGAGAACTAAATAAATATAGAGTCATAATCATAGGACCTACCATTTTAGAGATACACTTGGTCATCATTGACATTTGACAATGGACCAAAACCATCTGCCAATAAAATAAACATGCTTATTATAATCTTCATAATCAAATAACACCTCGAAACGTATTGGAAGCAGAAGAAAAAAAATGCAGCTAAAGAAAGGCAGAAAGCAACAGGATCCCTTCCCTCTATATATATATTCAGTTCACACTTCAGAGTTCAGACAGACCCTCCAATCTCTCTCCCAAAGACTCCATATTTCATATTTCTCCCTCTCTCTCAGAAAAGATGGAATTGTTGAGTTCAAAAGTTCAAGAACTGATTGATTTGGCACTGCCCTTAATTCAGGCTCCTACAACTCTTTTGTCAACGATTTTCACTATATTGGCTTTGTTAGCTGGAAGTTTGGTGTATTTCTATAGGCCTTATTGGGGTGTTAGAAAGGTGCCAGGTCCTCCAGCTCTTCCCCTCCTAGGCCATCTTCCTTTGCTTGCTAAATATGGTCCAGATGTTTTTGCTGTCCTGGCTAAACAATATGGCCCTATTTTCAGGTCAGTCTCTCCTTATATCTTGCCATCATCATAGTAATCATCAGTTGTATCAGTCATTCAGTTGACTCTTGGCATGATGAACTAGGATAAATGTATGTCCCGTGATCACATGATGTTTGATCAAAAGAACACTGTGTTGAGAAATCCCAAGTGTCAATGTTTTCCAAATGTAGGTAAAGATTTGATTTTGAAGCAGGAAGTTGATGGTTTTTTTTTTTTGGTTGTCAATCTGTTGAAAAGGGGTGATGAAAAAGTAGTCAAGATTCTTGAATTAGCTTGCTGGTAGGAAATAATTTGCTGTTTACAAAGAAAAACAAGGGGCCCTAATTGCACTAAGTGGATAGTGAAGAATCTGTAATAATAATTGGACCACGGACTTGTCAGTTGTCACCCACCGGCCACCATAACTATAGTTTCTGGATTTATGTAATATCAGGTCCTATGTGGTTTTAGCTAATATATAAGAGCCAGAATTTGAATAAAATAGAGTAAAAAAATTGTTACTCCCTCCATTTCTTGGTGTTTACTCTTTAGGCTCATGTTATCTTTTGATTTCAGGTTTCATATGGGCAGGCAGCCATTAGTAATTGTTGCAGATGCTGAACTTTGCAGAGAAGTTGGAATAAAGAAATTCAAAGACATTCCTAACAGAAGCATCCCATCTCCTATAGCGTCATCCCCTCTGCATCAAAAGGGCCTCTTCTTTACCAAGTAATTCAATATGCCATATTGCTTCTTTCTTTTTTTTTTTGGTACTAATATGTCATATTGCTTTAATGCTTCATGTCCATTTCTAGCTTCACTAACCTGTCAAAAATGCTTGCACAGTTTAATATTCTTGGAATATTCATAATGTTAAAATATACTTGGAAATTTTGGACAGGGATGAAAAATGGTCAACTATGCGAAATACAATATTATCGGTATATCAGCCATCTCACCTTGCCAAACTGATACCAACCATGCAATCATTTATAGAATCGGCAACTGCAAATCTTGATTCCCAAGGGGACATGAAGTTTTCTGACCTCTCCCTTAAGTTAGCTACTGATGTTATTGGACAAGCTGCTTTTGGGGTGGACTTTGGCCTTTCCAAAGTTCAGCCAGGCAATGAAGTTGCGGATAACATGAACCACCAGCAAAATGATAAGGAAGTCCAGGATTTCATCAATCAACACATATATTCTACCACACAGCTCAAGATGGATTTATCAGGTTCCTTTTCAATTATACTCGGATTGCTGGTTCCAATACTGCAAGAGCCCTTTCGCCAGATTCTTAAGAGGATACCTGGCATGATGGATAGAAAAGTGGAACAAACCAACCAGAATTTAGCTAAGCGGCTTGATGAGATTGTCGCGAAGAGAATGAAGGAACAGGACAGTGGCTCAAAGGACTTCCTGTCGCTTATTCTGAAAGCCAGGGAGTCAGAAATGGCATCAAGGAATGTCTTTACACCAGACCGCATCAGTGCAGTAACTTATGAGCACTTACTTGCTGGTTCAGCAACAACGTCGTTCACCTTGTCAAGTATTATATACCTGGTTGCTGGGTATCCTGAAGTCGAGCAGAAATTGCTCCGAGAAATTGATGAATTCGGTCCCCATGATCAGATACCTACTGCCACTGATCTTCAAAACAAATTCCCTTATCTTGATCAGGCAAGTAATATTTGGTCGAACTCTGTCTACGATCAATAAAGTTCACGATATTGCTAAAAATGGGAAAAGGGTGATTCTAGACATGTTCAATATCTCTTAACTACATCTCATTTTTTCACTTGACTTTCTACCACAGGTTGTCAAGGAAGCAATGAGATTCTACACAGTGTCCCCATTGATTGCAAGAGAAACATCAAGACAAGTAGAGATTGGAGGTTACACCCTCCCAAAGGTAGTCCTTTTCTTATTTCTCCAAGACTGACTGAAATAAAGAAACATATCTCTACACTTGAGTTTCTGTTCCCGCGAGACAGTTTCAATGTGTCTTATAATATAATGCACAATGACTATGCAGGGTACATGGGTGTGGTTGGCAGTTGGAGTTCTTGCTAAAGACCCAAAAAATTTTCCTGAACCTAACAAGTTCAAACCTGAGAGATTCGATCCGAACTGTGAAGAACAGAAGCAAAGGCATCCTTATGCATTTATCCCCTTTGGAATTGGTCCTCGAGCTTGCATTGGACAGAAATTCTCCATACAGGAACTTAAGCTCTCGCTAATTCAGTTGTATAGAAGATACATCTTTCGCCATTCTCCAGAGATGGAAAAACCTTTGGAACTGGAATTTGGCATTGTTCTTAACTATAAGCATGGTGTAAAGGTGAGAGCCATCAAACGTGCTTGAAGGTTTACAGTTGCTAGGAAATTTTTCAATGAAGTCCTGATCTTTAAGTTTCACAAATGCAAGGAAGCATTTCATGAAGTACAGTATTAAAATTTCAATGCATCCCATCTGAACTAATCATTCTAGAGGGCACTGCCGTTAGCGAATCAGCTTTGCCATCAATTATAAAATCTAAAGGGTTGCTGTTCAACACGACTCTTAATCTACAAGAGCTTGTTGTTTTGCAAATGTTGGAGCTTCTACCAACCCATGTACACAAATAAATGCAAGCATAGAGCCAAAAACGAATGAATGTGCCAAAAACCAAGGGCAAACTTAATTGTTACAAGTGTAAAGGCAAACCGCATTTCACTCCAAAACCAAAACTTACAATTATACAGCATCAAGAACCTTGATCACGCACGTACAAAGACATTGTTAACGACGCATATTTGCACAATAAAGTCAATAAAGTTCGCAGCGTAACTACGGCAGTAAATTCTGCACGAAACAACAAGCTGTTGTAACCTTACAACTTTCCATCCTACTGGTAGAAGCAATTATCCCTTTCAGACAAGTTTGCTGAGAACTTCTCCATTCGAGTAGGCTGGCAAAGTGGCCTAGAGAAGTTGATTGAATAATTATCAGAACCGATACTGCTTTTAGAATCCACATTAGAGAATGCTCCAGACTTCTTAAGAAACTGAAATTCATCCATAGACTGCCTTTGAATCCTTTGATTCCTCTGTTTAGCTTTGGTTGACTCAGTGAGGTTCATGTAACTTGGCTTGCTTTTGTTGCTCAGTTCATTCTTATCCGATGTCAAAGGAGTGTTTCCGGACACAGGGGTAGCCGATGTGCAGATTGAAGACGACGCTGAGCTCTCGTCATATCTAAATTCAGAACTAGGGCTTGAGGACGAACGTGTACCGAATCCAGCTGAAGGAGGAGGCCTAGCCGAAATTCTGGTGCTGACATTGTTCTTCTTGACCTTCACTTGGCCAAGTTCAGATGACCTTGATCTGTTTCCCTTGGAAGAATCCACACAGGTCTTAACTGGTGGTGTCTTTTCAGAAGCATCATTATTTGCTTGTTCCATGAGTCTATTTTCCCATGGCTTTGCCGCCATCCAACGTTCCAACCAACTCCATCCCCAGCTACCCTTGTCAAATTCATGACTTTTGAGAGATGGAACTGAGACATGCGTTCGGGTATCGAAATTCTGACTAGATTTCCACTGCTGAAAGTTGGAGTTCATCATCATATCTACTATAACAAATTAAAACAAATCCAAAAAAAAAAAAAAAAAACATAATTATGCTAACCTTTTGTGCAATGGAATAAGCAAGTGCTCGTTCTCTCTTGCATAATCCCTCTTGCCTCATATGTATCTTTGTCTTAACTTCTTCTAACGTCAATCTACTATCACACCATCCTTCCTGAGTTTATTACCAAACAAATCAGACAACTGAAAATCTGTCCTTTAAAGTTTGAAAACAGAAATTGCAAATTGACAACAAGAAAAAGGGAAAATCTAAAACCTCTGCTTCTTTCAAGCGATTGGCCTTAATACGATGTTCATCAAGAATCTTCTGAACAGCCTGACCTTCCATCGACATTCGGACACGGCGAGCTCTAACACGAGCCTGAACCCTAACCAAAGCCTGCATACACCTAAGGGTCACAGCAGCCTGCTTTCTCACCTGTCTTCCCCTGACTAAAGCCTGAAGCCTCACTAGTCCTTTCAATGCTCTTAAAGCTCTTCTTGCCTAAATTTTGCAAAGTTCTAATAAGTACTTAATTCTTCCCAAAATTGACAAGTTATTGTACAAATACAAATGTAGTTGGGAACAGTGAGATTACCAGAAATGCACGGAAGGCAGTCTGGATTCTGATAGCGGCCCATTCTTGCCTCACAGCTTTGAAATCTTTAGGCGGAGCTCTGACGACGGTGGCTACAGCCGCCGTGAAGGCGTCGTTGTTGATGGAAGCAGAATCGGAGTATTCGGAGCCGCCACCGTTTCTACGGTGGTTCCCTCTGAACCCTTTCCATGAGGACCCACTTAGATCTCCAGATGGGCTCCTCCATAGCTTCCATTTTTTGCTTTTTCCCGCAGGCTTATTATTATCCTATCAACAAATTAAATCCATCCATGCAGAGCAGTAAGTTAAAAGGCTCCATAGTTACAGTAGAGTGAACAAAAAAGATCCCTTTTTTTTTGAGCATTCACCGAATCAAAAACAGAAAAAGATCGAATCTTTATAAAAAATAATTAGCTTACATGGTCTTCTTTTTCAAGCTTCTTGTGACCTATTAATGCTTTAACCCACTTTCCTGAAGCACCCATCTGGGCTAAACCTCTCTAGGTTGTATTAGGTGTTTCTCACTTCTCAGCTCAAATAAAAAACCTTGTAGGAATCTTTAAAAAAGAGAATGGGGGCAGTTTCCTACCACTGAACTTGGGCTACTGAAGATGAAAACAACTGGGGAAGGAAATTAGTTATGCTAAATAAAAACTGAGGATGCATTAATTTTGCAGAGATGACCACAATCAGAAACAGATAGAAAATTGGCAGAGAGCTTTTAAAAGGGCTAATAGAGATGAGGCAAAAAAAAATAGCAAGTTAGAAAACCGCCTTTTTTTATCAATCAAATATCAAGACACCCAATGAGGAAAGAAGGTGGTAGGAGGGAACGTGTGCGTTTGAATATGTGTGTGTGTGTGTGGATTGAATAGTGGGGTTTGTGGGTGGTTAATGGTGATGGGCAGAAACAACAGAAGAAGCAGAAGCAAGAATTCTTTTCTGAAATCTGACTACTACTGCCTTGTGCAATGAGCCGTTATACACACACAAATTTTTGGGTTGGGTTTTTTTTTTTTTTTTTTTTTGGGGTCTTTTGATATTTGAAATTCAAAGAGCGAAACGGACAGTATCACACAGCATTGGACCATAAAGGGAACATCTTTCCCGCTTGAAATGGTAAAACAGCCAAAAAAAAAAACAAATAAAAATTTGATCTTTGGTTGAATTGAAAAATTTACAAGTAAACCAATGGTTTACTGCACTGAATGGTTACTGTGAGAGTGTGCCTAAAAAGTAGTGAAATTTTTGTGAAAAGGTGCACATGAGACCAAAAAGCAAGCAGACAACGAATCACTAAAGTCAGTGCGTTTAAGATCTCTCCTCTTTCTCTCTTCAGTTCTTTTCTCTGCTGTATTTGTTATCCAAACCCAGTTTGAGATCGACACAATTCAATACAAACACCGAGCCCTCCAATTATTATTTCTTCATCTGCAATATGAAGGACATAATGGTGCACTTTTAATGAGTTTCTTGTGGAGTGGATGGAAAGTTTGAATGGAGTTTCAATTGGGGACCAATTTACATTTTTTTGTGTTCTTTTTTTTGTGGAGTAGTCAAACCTACTAGCTTATATAAAATCTAGCAAAAGGGTTTTCCATTTTCCAAAATGATGATAACGATTTAACTTATGTTTGGAAAGTTTTTTGAGCGTATTTTTTTGTATTAGGAATATAAAAAGGTGTATTAAAAATGTAAAAAAAGTATTGAGAATGTAAAAAGATATGTCAGGATAGGATAGATATAAATAAAAAAATTCTGAAAAAATCATCCAAAAAAGAACCAAAGAGAGCCTAAAGTAGAGCTTATTAGGAGTAGAAAGAAAAAAGAGTTGAATAGTGGAAATCTTTTGTGACATTTGATTGATTGTTTGTTTGCTCCGATTCTCATTTTCTTTTAGCTTTGGGATTTCTCATTCTATGATTGTTAATAATTGTCATGATTTGAACTTTGATCAAATTGATCTTAGGATTTCTTCATCTCAAAAATAGTTAAAATATAAAAAGTAAATATACTTTTGATGGAATGAATGATGTGAGTAAAATCCATGTTGAAATAGCATACTAGTACTAGATTACATAATAAATTCAACTGCTAATATAAAACAAAAATCCCTCGTCCTTTCCACTTTTGACTGTTTCTGTAAATGGTACAATTGAATTGAATGCGTGCTCTGTTCAATAATTAACCAAATATGGTGTTTTGCTTTCTAATTGTCGGGCATTATAACCAAGATCACAACTTTCAGTCACAAAATCCTATTACCACCATTCCTTCTTCCTATTTGGCTCTTACCTTTTCGTCTCCATTATAAAAACAGTCCTCTTCTTTTTTCCAATTTCAAAATCGTCACATGCGCTTCATAGTACACTTGTTTTTTCTTGTCTGATTTCTAAATTTGGTTTGATTTAAAATGGAGGGATCAAAGTTAAACTTTTAAAATTTTGGCAAATGTTAAAAAAAATACAAGGTTCAAACTTTTGATATGAATATATTTTGTAAATTCAAGAAATGTGTAGTTAGTACTTAAATAAATGCTTCTCCAGATAGGAGGAACGAGGAACCAATACGTATTAGTACTAGTACTTAAATGCTTCTCAGACATCATTTTTTGGCATTGGATTCTTTTCTCTGTTTTTGAGAAATGGAAAACATTGGAACTGAAGCTGATATAAGTTGGGTATGGAATTGTTGGATCGAAACACTACGCATTCTTTACTGCTATCAAGAACTTTGATGCAGAATATATCGAAAGGCTGAAGAAGCCCCGATTTAACTCCTCTCTTCTTATGAGAGCCCAAGTTTAAGTTTGACTGACAAAATTGATGTCTTTTTTGGTACTAAAAAGAAGTTAATTTTTGCTGCATGCGGTGCTTGTATTAGCTGGATGCATTCAATCACACAATAACATAATGGCGTGTAGTATAGCTTGATGACAATATTATGGGCATGCTCTCAGAGAAATTCTCATTTTGGACTACAAATTTCTATGACTTTTTTGTTTCATGCTGAAACATTTAAGTAAAAAATGACCTGACTTGCCTATTGATGGATCCAATTCTGGACCAAATTCCAAGTTAATGTGCCCCAAAATAAATAAATAAATAAATACTAAGATTTATGGTGGTTCTTTGTCTACCAAATACAAGAATCAAATCAGATATCTGCTAGAGAAAGTAAGGTTAGAGGTGCCAATGTGTCAAGGGAGATGGAAGAAGAATACCATCCTTTATTTCACTTTCTGTAATGTTCGCTCTTACACTACTTAAAATGTGTGACACGGCCTTATTATAGAATATCTTTTGACTCAAAAGAGGAGGGATAGAAACCGTCTCCAATGAGAGAAAGTAACAATTTTGTCACGTTTACTACAAAATCGTACTGCCAATGCTGTTTTTATACAGATTATGAACTAAAGAATGAATCAAATATCAGAGCTAGGCATCTTACAAGTTAAAGCAGCTAGCTCTAAAGAAATTTAAATATGGGGGCAAGGGAAAAAAGAGTGCCCCCAAAGTCTGAACCTTGCAGGTTCTTTAAGTTCAGACCATGCATTAACAACAGGGGTTAAAGAACAAAGAATCAGGATTCTGCTTTGACAGTTAACTAGAAAAATCATTTTCAAAATTTTGAAGATTGAGGAACGGTCTTACTTCTGCATTGCTTCCTCCTGAATTCAACTGCAAGATATAGTGGACACCCTTGGGCTAGGTAGTCCCATGTAAGTAAGCCTAGGTGACATACGGACTCTTGGACTTGGCCGAGGGGAAGGGATTGGAACTCCGCTCTTGGACTTTACAAGCGAGGTCCTAGGCGATAAGTTGACCTTCTCCAGTGCCTCAAATTGGAGCTGCATTGGATAGTCTCGAACACAACCAATCCGGGGACCAACACCGCTAGTCCATTTGCATGACAACCGCTTTGCCAAGTCCAATTTGGGTTCTTTGACTGTTTCTATATCAGTTAGCTGTCTTCCTTCAGGCTGATCAGGTATCAGGGAAACATCAGGAGATGCAGCATCAGAATTGACAGCAACTACATCCTTGGAATCTGCAGTTTTTGAGGGGTCTTGTACCTTTTCTTTGTTTGACTCCTCATAAACATCTCCATATGATTTCCTAGCATCATCAACCGTGTATCGCTGCAAGGAATTAACACCTATCTTAATGCTGATAATTTGCAACCGACAAAGGAAGAAATTCCTTAATATTCTTCTATTTTCCAGTTCATATGTGAGAGGTTCCTCAAAGTATCTCAAACAAAGATAGGTATAATTACCTTAACATTGCTCAAATCGACATGGTACTCTTCAAGAAAACTTATGAATTCCTTGAAATTGTCTTCTGTTGGAAGATAGTGACCACTGTATGGCCATATTGCCTGGCAAAAATGAGGAATGTTAAATAAATGTTTAGCGTTGAAATATTCTCTGTGTTTAATTGATGATGGCAACCTACTAATGCTTAAAACATACCTCAAGAGCACCATCATGAGCAACAAGTCTACCAGCTGCAGTAATAGCTCCACCAGACAAGAAACTAGAATGCTGAAAAACACCCTTCTTTTTCTGTCCTACGTACAAGGCCCTTGATGTGCTGAGCACAAAAATCCACTTTGAGCCTTCGGTTGTATTCAAAAGCATGCCAGTTTTCTGGTAGACTAACTTCCCATCCTTCACAATAACTTGATATGCTTCCCTCTCATGCTGCAAGCAAAAAATCAGTGTGTTGTAAGATGTCAGCAATTCACCAAGTATCACTTCGTGCCAATTATAGCGCAATTCATAAGCAGTATGATCCAAAGTTCATGACAATGGAAACAGATTGACAAATTCATTCTACAAAAATTCCGAGGGATAAGGCTTACAGGTCCAAGATACTTGATGCACTGCCGTTGCAGGTCGGCTCTTGAACAACTGTCCAGATTGATCTCTTTACCATCCCCAACATCCAACCTTCACGCAGAAGTAGGAAAGATAAGATCACTGGGAACTAACCATTCATTTAAGATGAACTTATTCCTGAAAACTGTAGTAATACCAGTAAAAGAAAGGTTGGGAGCTTCGGCTTGCAGACCAAACATCATAGTAGAAGTGTAAGTTGTGCCCATACCTATGCCTTGGATCAATCTGCAATAGCAATAGTGAAACAACTCATTGAGCCATTGAACTTCCATTCATTTGTAAATCATCTTTGATATAAAAACCAGATGAAGAACCACACATGCATTTATCCAAGAGCTATGAAGCACATAGTTACAGGTTATAAAATATTTCCAGGAAAAAATCTTACAGCTTCAAGCCAATGTTGCAGAGCTAACTTCTGAGCCTTTTCATCTTTGGACAAACCTTTACCAACCTGTAAAAGGCAACAACATCACCTTGATTATTAATCAACTATGCAGTGACTTTCTGAAAGCTTAATTGATTAGAATTAACACATCGATCTGCATAATAAATGTATTGCACCTTAGCAGCTCTTGTCCTTGCACGTGCCCACCGGGATGCAGCAGTTTCATGTTTCTCCAAGTTAAAGAATGAAACCGAACTATGTTCTAGAGCTGCAGAATCCAAGGCCTTCCACCTTACATATAAGAAGCAAAGTATGAGAAACCAATGCTACTCGCACAAGAATGATCAGTTGAAGAAGTATTTTGTTCATTAAACTTACCAAAGTTCTTCTACAACAACTGCACAATCTGCAAGATTCCTTCTGGTGCGGTAACTCTTGTAAACTTTCTGAAGCTTAGTTGCTGCTGCATCAAGCTCGCAAAGAGGTTTTGGTGACGATATAACGAAGGGCTCCGGAAGCAAGATTTCAAGCTTGGACTTGTTGATTAATTTCTGATGGGTCTCGTTCTTCCCAGAAACCACATTTTTAAACTCCTTGTCGACTAATAAATCACTTGTGGGAGCAGCATTCTCACTTGTGCTCACATTTGAAGCATCAAGGGTTGTAAGAGTTTCCAACTGCTTCTTCTTGAAACTAAATGTCTTCACCAAAAGTTCTCCTTCTTTTTTCCCAAAGCTCACTGATTTCGCAATAACTGTATCTGCAGTCTCCCTTAAGCTGAATATATTGTGCTGCTGGATCACGTTCCACACTGATGAGATTATGGAATGAGAAAGTCCCATCCCCTTGAGGCACTTCTATATAAACCAATGTGATCAAAGCAAAACCTGTTCACCAACAATAGAAATGAAACACATGATTATGAACTTCTGAAAAAGCCCATTAAACTTAAGAAATCATTTCTCAAAAGGGAAAATTATTTTCTCTCATCCCCTTTTTTCTAACTGATTAGTTAATCCGACTTCCTTTTTACAATTTGTCAAAACTCAAAAAGGTTGAATTTTGTTCCTTTGCCAAATGAAGAATAATACATGATCGTACACAATTACAATGCAGGAAGAATTTAACCCAAGCAAATCACAAAATTGAACAGAACCCTTGTCAAATTTTAGACTCCACAATCAAATCATGCATACTGGGCATTAATACAAATTCAGAAACTTCACCACTCCAGAAACTCCAGATTAGAAGAAAACAGCCCAGAAGAAAATTAGTACAAATTCATACAGGGGAAGCAAGCAAGTGAAAATTGGCTGAAATTGAAGGTTGACTCGGTACCTTAATTAAAATGACTAAAAAGACTAACTTTATTTACTGTTCCTCTCTGTGCCGCCTCTCTTTTCCTCAAGCGTGCTTTTGATTGAGTCACTCAATTGAATATGCCTTACCAAAATTGCATGGCACTGGTATATATATGAGTTGAATTCCACTTGTTTGAAAGATTGGAAATGATCAAAGTTTCAATTTGGTCAAGCAGCAAATCAAACACGTAATATGAATACATAAAATATAAAAAAAAAGGAGGGATTGGGGGGGTCTACGCAGGAGCTTTCCTCTGAAGGTTAAAGGAAAGGTTGCAGAAACCACACACCAAATTAGCCCTCGTTTTTTTTAACAAAGAATAGTAGTATTAGCAAGGGATCAAAAAAGCTCAGAGAAGGCCATACAAAACATCATTGATTACACACAAAGCTAATAGCTTTTTGGATTAAAAGCGTCATCTTTTGGGTCCCCTTTTTTGACACTTCTGAATCAATCATAGACCTTGAAACCTAATGCTGCTCTGCTGGCTTTCTTTGTCAGCTTGGCTTCTTGTTCTTCGTAATTTTCTTTGTGGAAAATTTGCATGGTTTTGGGTCGTTGGTTGTTCTCTGATCCGGTTACAATTATTATTCAATTTATTGGCCTTCATTAGTTCACATTCCAAATATGATTTTTTTTTTTTTTTGGGTTCGAAAAGCTATAGTATCTGAATTTTGTGAATCACATAGATATAAAACCAGCAATCACTGTAAACGTAAGATATCAATTATATTCAAATCTAAAATGTTGACGCAGAGTTGTTATGAATTTGAGTATCACCGTAACTAAAAATTAATGTGTACACAATTTTTTTGAAACGTCAGTTTCGATCAGTCCTTATTATTGTCATCCAAACCTGCGGCAGCTTTGGAACTCCTATAAGTTCATACGTAACTGTAAGTTCAAGACAGTGGAGGAACTACAAAAGGAGACTATCAAAACTAAAAATAAACAGGAAAATAAAAGGGAGAAGAAATTGAGGATGTGGAAAAAGGGAGGATCTAGTTTTGGTTGGCTTTCGGCCTAAAAGTAAAGTGGAGGAAATGGATGAGAACGACGAGTTTTCAATGGTGGTTTATTCATAGTTTCCTTGTAGGTAAATTTCCCAGCAATTGATATGGTGGTTATATTATTCAAACCTGACAGTATTTGTGTATATGGAAATTGTGGCAACACGACTCTCCTGTTTCTGTGTGTGCTTCAACGAAGAAAGTTCAACCATCTATGTAGTTCCAATTCCAATTAGATCATGATAAAACCAAGACTTTATTGTTTTCGGAGCGTTTAAGCTCAAAAAACGACGATTGCTAATTACAAAATTTTGTTATTTCACTTTTAACTATCATGCTCAAAGGTTCAAGTTTTTTTTTTTTCTTTTACGACAAAGGAGCAAAAGCTTGAATTTAAAATATTACGACAATGATCAAGCGGTTTTGGCTTACTGCATCTTGCTCTAATCACGATTAAACACTTCAAAATAAGAAGTGGTTTTGGTTTACTGCATCTTGCTCTAACCACGATTAAACACTTCAAAATAAGAAGTCGAGAATCATATTAAATTCATTTCTTAAAGGTTCGACGATGCCCGAAGATTTTTCCGCCATCCGCTCCATTTCAATCATAGCTTTGAACTCTCAAACAAATAACAAAAACCATTTCCATTGCAATCTTCAACCAGTCTTCTATCAAAAGGTTGGTTTATCATAGTTAACTTTTAGCTAATCTACTCCGCTGACGGGACCTTTTAACCCTTCTCAACTTCTTTCTTCTCATTCTTTCTGTGTTTTTTAACTTTATATCACGAGCGATAAGACAAGCCCGATTCAACAAAACATTGATACAGTTAAATGTCACAATTCACCAAAATGTTTGCATTATACAGAAAAAAAAAAAAAAATCATCCCCTTTTATTCCATTTGCAATTTAAAGATGGTGGGTTTTCTACTTTTGGGATTGCATGATTGAGAATTAATTTACAAAAATGATTTGGGCCCATTTGGGGTGTTGATTAAAGCCCTTTTGGTGGGGGATATTACGGAACGCATCTTTGTGTACAATCTACGTGGCCCTGGCCCATGCGCCACCCAGCTCCCCGCAGGCGTTTGACTTTTCACCCATCCATTCTTAACCGGGCTACATTTTAAGTAATAATAATAAAATTTTTTAAAAAAATACATATACACTATATTAGATTTTTTTTCTAATAAAAAAAAATATTTCCTTCGCGTTTAACCTAGTTTTAGCATTCTAGCTGTAACACATTCCTCTATAGAAATAGAACAGATTCATATATAAACACATTTGTCCGAGCTCATTACCAAAAACATGGACAAGAGAATTCAACTCAGCATTTGACTTCACTCTTTGTATATATGGAAGTTCTGTATCAGGCCCCATTGCGTGAATGGGTCTGCCAAGTCTTATCTTAGCCAGTAAGACTGAGCAAACAGATGAGCAAGGAAACCAGTAGGAATCCAACCACCACCCTGGCCGATACCATTCATCCAGGAACTATGCCATGTCACCACTATGGGATCAAAATCTCTATCCATCCTTAATTAAAATATCAATAATCGAGATGCATGGAAAAGTTTCACCAAACTCTCAAGCATGTCTGAAATCCACAACTTATTGTGCATCATGTGGCCTCTTTTTCCCCTTAAACAATCCATCATACTTGGTACTTTTCCATTAATGCACTTATTGTTGAGTTTTCCGACTGAACTCGGAATCGGAACCAATCTCAAATCATCGTATTTTAATTAAAAGAGAAGAAGGAGATAGAGCTTCCATGTATAATTTATGTAAACAAAAGCCAAATGTTTGATTCAGACAAAGGATTTACTCAGACATTGTCTGAGTACTTCAAACTATAAATTAAACAAACTTAAAAGAAAAAATTACCTTTTAAAGCTTCTTCTATTCTTCAAACTTGAAAGATATATTTACTGAATGATTTGTTTACAAGGGAGAGAGAGAGAGAGTTTTGAGAGAAAAGAAGAAGAAAGGAGAGAATCGTCGCCCTCCAAATGAACTAATACATTCTATTTATAGACAAAGTTTCTAAGTACTATTTTACAAAGAATTATTAATTCTTGTCATTATTTGACATGCTTTTCTTCAGATTTGACTGCTTGTGGGGCCCACTTGTATTAAATTTCAAAAGTAGATTCCTACTTTTGTCACTTCATACTTTTTCTTTTCCTTTGTCGAATTGAAATTTCTTGGATCTGTCATAATGATTTTTGATAAATTCATCATGATCGTCATCATTTTCGATGGTGAGATTCTCCTACCAATATTGCAAAGAATTTTCTTCATTGGAAGTAATACTCTTCATCGAAACATCCGATTTTTCAAATATTATCATTATCGAGATTTTTAAATTTCTCATAAGATCCGCTTTAACTTCTTTCATATAGGCGGATATTATCTCTTCCTTATTAATTGCTCCTCTTTGAAGCTGAATTCGTTTTGTGATGTGTTTGAATGGACTCTTTTCATCGGGGTTTGCTTTGAGCTGTCCTTTGTCCTGAGTATATTCTTTGATTTTTTGGGCAATTTCGTCCAGCAAGTCCTGTCCTTCCATTCTTTTGGTATTGTGATTCATTTTTGTTAATTTATCCCAAAATTTGGTATAATATGTCTTATAAAGACACGGGATTTGAAATTCATTGAATCCAACCTCAGGAACTTATTTATAAATCCATGGAATCGAGAATTCAATAAAGAAGTATAACAAAGTGATTTTCCCGGAGCACAGATATGACTGTGTTGAAGTTTATCAATGATAGGGGAAGATTTTAACCATTGATAATATAATTTTGAAAAATTATCTGGCAAAATTTTTATTGTTGGGCCATATAATGCTCACCACTGGATAAACCAATTGGGTATGGGAGAAGAATATACATGGGAACATATCTTAATGAACCGAGTATGCTTTTTTCTGGGGTTTTCATAATAAAAGGTTTTGTAAAAACTTTGAATATAATCCCAGTAAGTAAATTTCAAAGGAGGAGAAGTAGGAGTATTACGTACTTCTCTTTCAGAAAGGATTGAAATTCCCCATTCCTCAGAAGATAAAATCTTTTAATAATAATTTTGAGAAGTTATAAACTTGATTGTAGTCCGATTAGACCGAAAATGTGTTATTTCACGAGGTTTGTTTGAGAATATTCTCATAATAATTTAAGGTTTGTATGACTCACCCAGTATCATTACCCTTTCGCTAGATATCTTGAATATTACCCATGGGTCATTTTTCCACCGAATATCGCGTTTTCAAGAAGGAATATTACCTCCTTTGTGGATCCTTTTTCATATGACCGGATATCATCCAGTCGGTTTCACTTACTTTAGTAGCAAAGGTATCACCTTGTTGCTCTTGGATATGATCCATAATCTGCTTATATAATGCAGAATCATTCTGAATAAAATCCATTATTTGGACCATTTTCGCATTTGATGAGGAGGATTCCTCCTGAGATTTTGAAAAATCATCCGCTATTAGCTTTTTATTCCCATGTTGTATTACAGGGTTTATTGTTCTTCCTCCACGACCTCTATTAGGGCCGCGTCCTCTATCGGGCGGATACATAATCCTGTAAAATTAGAGAATTATTAATGATAATTTTGCTTTACAATAATTTAACCTTTCTTCACTTTCAGCTAATCTTTCAGTGAAGTCTTCTATCATGTTATAGACAAATTCAAGTTCTTTTGAAACAGATATTATCTGTTGTGGTGAAGTAAATTCATCAGCACAATCAAAAATCGTATTACGAACTCGTAAAAAGTGATTTAATCTATGCTTTGCAAAAATATATTCCGTTCTACAATGCTTATATTCAAGAACAATCTTATTATAAGCAATATGTATTACGGATAGTGGTTTAAGATAATCAATTTGTGGCCACTCCATCCTGCAAATATTCACGTGATAAAAATCGGGTAAAGAATTATCACTACCTTTTTATATAAAATTTCAAAATCAAAAGGGGCTAAATTAGCCTGCCATCGAGCATATATTTGCTTTGAAGAATCATGCTTATAATCTTTATAAATCATGTGTTTAACAGCAAGAGCATCAGTATGAATGACAAACGTCTGATTAAATAAATCATCTTAGAATTTTAATACACATTTTACAATAGCAAGAAATTCTTGTGCAACCGTTGCATATTTCTTTTGAGGTTCTGTCCATTTACCAGAATGATATCTAATAAGATATTCATTATTATCATGAGGGTTAATCTGTTTCAAGATTCCACCGAATCCTATGCTACTAGCATCTGTTTCTATTATCTTTTTCAAATTCGGATTTGCTAATGTTAAACATGGTAAAGTTTTTACCTTTTCCTTTATTTGCTTAACTAATTGAGTATGCTTTTCTGTCCAATCAAATTTAATTGATTTTTTAAGCAAATCATATAAAATTGCTAAATCTTTTTGTAAATTCTTATAGTACGGTGAAATATAATTTAAACTTCCTAGAAATCTCTGGAGTTGAATTCTCTCAGTGAAAACATCGGGAAATTTAGAAGAAAATTCAATTGATCGTTGAATAGGGGTTATTTTTCCTTGACTTATTTGATGACCAAGAAATCTTATATTATGTTGAAACAAAAGCATCTTTGGTTTAGATATTACTAAGCCATTCCGTAAAATAACATCCTTTAACATATTAAGATGTTTAAAATGTTGTTCAATATTATCAGAGAATACTAAGATATCATCAATGTAAACAATTATAAAATCCATATAATAAATAAATATATCATTCATGATTTTCTGAAATTCAGAAGGAGCATTTTTTAATCCGAATGGCATCACATTCCATTCAAATTGTCCTATAGGTACATTAAAAGCAGTTCTATAAGTATGCTCGGGATTTATTTGAATTTGCGATATCAGATTTTAAATCAAATTTAGAAAATATATTGGCATTATATAATTTTGATAATAAATCTTTTTATTAGGTATAGGATATCTTATCCATTTTAAAACTTTATTAAGTGGCTTATAGTTTATTACTAATCTCGGGACGCCACGTTCTTTTTAATTGCATTATTAACATAAAATGCGAGACATGACCGAGGAGATTGTGAAGGTTTTATTAAACCCTTTTGAAGCAAAGAATGTAATTCTTCTTTACATAAATTCATATATACAGAATTCATTTGACATGGTCGTGCCTTAGTAGGAATATCCTTTTCATTAAAATTATCTTCATAAGGAAGATTAACTAAATGTTTCTTTCTATTCCAAAAAGCATTTGGGTGATCAGCACATACTGATTCTTGAAATTGTTTTGTGATATTTTTTTTTTCTTGTAATTTAGTATTACTCAATAATTCAGGTATTGATAAATTCATAATTTCATTTTTAATGAAAAATAATTGTTTTTCTTTAGCTAAAATGTTGAACAACATAATTGTTCTTCTTTTCTCTCAAAACTCTCTCTCTCTCCCTTGTAAACAAATCATTCAGTAAATATATCTTTCAAGTTTGAAGAATAGAAGAAGCTTTAAAAGGTAATTTTTTCTTTTAAGTTTGTTTAATTTATAGTTTGAAGTACTCAGACAATGTCTGAGTAAATCCTTTGTCTGAATCAAACATTTGGCTTTTGTTTACATAAATTATACATGGAAGCTCTATCTCCTTCTTCTCTTTTAATTAAAATACGATGATTTGAGATTGGTTCCGATTCCGAGTTCAGTCGGAAAACTCAACAATAAGTGCATTGGGGCTGGAAAAGTACCCCGTTATGATGGATTGTTTAAGGGGAAAAAGAGGCCACATGATGCACAATAAGTTGTGGATTCTAGACAGGCTTGAGAGTTGGGTGAAACTTTTCCATACATCTCGATTATTGATATTTTAATTAAGGATGGATAGAGATTTTGATCCTGTAGCTGGCTGACATGGCATAGCTCCTGGATGAATGGTATCAGCCAGGGTGGTGGTTTGGATTCCAGCCTGGTTTCCTTGCTCATCTGTTTGCCTGGTCTTACCGGCTAAGATAAGCATTGGCCAGGCCCCAGCCCCACGGAAGTTCTTTACAGAAATATATATGTATATATTGCTCTATATTGAGCAATACTTCCAACTCTTTGCTTCTCATTTTTATTAGTCTATTTTATTGTATTGTTTGAAATCAATAAAATCAACTTCTTTTTTTTTAAAAAAAATGGAAAGCATGAAATTCATTAGACAATACGAGTAATACACAAATGAATACAACAGGTATCACAGAGCGCGGACAACTCTCACAAAATGATTATGAAACTAAACTCTCAAATTATCAGAGGAATTCAAAACCCACACTCTTACCGGACATCTTGTCATTGATTAAACTGAAAATCGTCCTTAAAATTAGATTTTACAATAACATTTTCAAACTTAGTAGTCCAACACCCCACATCCCAACTCTTTCCAAATAACTCTATGGATCAGCACTGGATTCGTTCGAACCACCAAGGAAATGTTAAAGCTGACAAAGGTGTATGCAAGTTCGACGTGAATTTAGGAAAACTAAAATTTGTGGTTAATTGTTGCTTGCGACGTCAAGTTCATAAGGATATCAGAATTTAGATTATTCACATAATATTGTGAAATCATAGTTAAAACATAATGTCATCATTGTTTTATAATCGCGCAATACGGTAAACTCATAACTTAAGGTTTTCTCTTCCATTCAAAAAAAAAAAAAGAAGAAGAGAGTAGACACATGAAACATAAACGCTTCAATAACATCAAACAGTCGAGTGAGGGTGTTTATAGTGGGGGTACAATTTTTGAAGTGGGCAATAGAGTAACAACGGAAATACATAATTCCATACTCAATAGGACAATTTTGATGGCAAGATCATAATCGTAACAACTCATTGTATAACCAAGGGAAAATCATCTAGATGAAGTTAAAACGTTACAAAAGTAAACCCCTCTAAAACATTACTTTAGTTCAAGTACGTAAATTATTAAAATAGGACAAATGTGAAATTCTAGCAAAACGATAATATTTTAAGCTGACCTTTTGAGGATTAGAAATCGAATTTTCATGTAAAGTGTGACGGTAATTATGAATGTGTGAAAATGGTGCATTTTGATAAAACAAAAAGAAAAGGGGTAGAAAGAATTACAACTGAATTACAACTCGTTTAAAAAATAATGTTCCTTTAATATTTTTTTAATATATTTGTAAATGAAATGTAACACAAATGAAAACATAAATGAATGTATATGATACACTGGGCTATTACTCTAGGTTATGAGGATTCCTCAGGCCCAAACGCTAGTGGGCTTCTGGAACAGCCTACCTTTTTTTTACTTGAGCATCACGTAGATATTTTGGAGCTGTGCTGGCCCTAAAAGAAGATTTTGATACCAAAGGGATATGCTGCACTATAAATAGAAAGATAAACCCTTGAGCCTCACTACGGCTGCAGCATTGTAAGGTCATTCCGTGCCTTACATCTCCTTATTCTCTGCCGCCTCCTTCTGCTTATCTCTCTTTCTCTCTGGTAATTCAACCTACGCCTCTTCCTTTCTCTTTTAGTTCTTTGTTTTTGATTTTGTGTTGATCTGATTTTCTGTATCTTCGTGGCAGAATCGTTATTTACGTCTCTTTTTTTGGTAATTTTTGTTTGGAATTTTGGTTGGATGCTTTCGTTTGTAGCGTTAATCGCTTGCTCACTTGTTGTTTCCTTGTTTTAGATCTAGATCGGATCTGATTTGTGTATATTTTGTTTGATTTATTTTCTGCTTCGTGAATTTGGATGTTCATCGTGTTTGCTTTTGACGTTCGGTTTGATGTTTAATAAGTTTGATAGATATTTCTGTTCTATTTGATTTGTTTTTCCGGTTATGAGTAATAATCGACTGGCTTTTTTTGAGAAAAATAAAAGCATCAATTCATCAGCTGCTCTTAGTTTTGTTTGCTTTCCTTTTCTACGATTCTTTGCTTCATGTTTGGTTTTTTGTATTTCTTCTTATATTAATGTTTTGTAGGAAAGATTAGAGACGGAAGCTTCTGTTCTGGGATATTTGATGTATGTACTGTTAAAATTGTCTTTCAGAGTGAAAGTACTCTCAAATTACACCAGTGGCTTACTCCTATTGGTTTTGATACTGCACTGAGAGATGTTAATGAGTGTTTGTGTGTGTTCGTTTGGGTTTCTTTTTGTCAAATACTTAGTCAACAGTTATGCTTGTTTATATCTCATTCCCAGCGTTAAGTTTATGTGTTTCCTTCACTGAAGTTTGTTTTTTTTTTTCCAGTGAACATTACTGTATATGCTACTATAATGAACTTGAGGCCTCTATTTTTCTTGTTTTGTTTGGAAATTTGTTCACATGTTTTCGTCCGGTTAACATTTGTTTCTTCTTTTATGTCATTGTTTGATGTTTGCCTTTTGTTCTTGCCTATTTATTCAACTCTATTGTTCTGATTATTGCAGGTTTTGCTTTCTTAATTGATTTTTCTTCGTGGATTAATTAACAAGCTCTCAAGATGGTAAGAGCAGCTCCACATCAATTGAAGTTTACATCTACCCATTTACATTAGTAGCAGTTAAATAACAAAAGATAATTGATTTTATTTTCTATACAAACTTGCAGGTGAAGTTTACAGCTGAGGAATTGAGAAGGATTATGGACTTCAAGCACAATATCAGAAACATGTCTGTTATTGCACATGTTGATCATGGTACAGTCACTTCTGTATATTTCTTTATATGCTATGCTTTTTTTGGTTGCACTGACTAATGTTGATTAGAAGTGCATTTAAGAGATAGCCTCTCGTGTTTTTGTTTCTGAATGGTTTTGCTAAAATTTGTGTTTATTTAATCATTTAAATTTTTTGTTGTCATTTAATTCCTAATTGAAAAGCAATGCTTGCTAACATGGCATTTTATATTTTCAGGGAAGTCCACCCTCACTGATTCTCTTGTGGCCGCTGCTGGTATCATTGCCCAGGAAGTTGCTGGGGATGTACGTATGACTGATACCAGAGCAGATGAAGCTGAGCGTGGAATTACAATCAAGTCTACTGGAATCTCACTTTACTATGAGATGACTGATGAAGCATTGAAGGGCTACAAGGGAGAGCGCCAGGGTAATGAGTACCTCATCAATCTTATTGATTCCCCTGGGCACGTTGATTTCTCATCCGAAGTGACAGCTGCTCTTCGTATCACTGATGGTGCCTTGGTTGTTGTTGACTGTATTGAGGGTGTATGTGTGCAAACTGAAACTGTCCTCCGTCAAGCTCTTGGTGAGAGGATCAGGCCTGTTTTGACTGTTAACAAGATGGATAGGTGTTTCCTTGAGCTTCAGGTTGATGGAGAGGAAGCTTACACAACATTCCAGAAAGTCATTGAAAATGCTAACGTTATCATGGCCACTTATGAAGACCCTCTTCTTGGAGATGTCCAGGTTTATCCTGAGAAAGGAACAGTTGCTTTCTCCGCCGGGTTACATGGCTGGGCTTTCACTCTCAGTAACTTTGCCAAGATGTATGCTTCCAAGTTTGGTGTTGATGAGTCAAAAATGATGGAAAGACTTTGGGGTGAGAACTTCTTTGACCCTGCCACCAAGAAGTGGACTACCAAGAACACTGGCTCTCCTACTTGCAAGCGCGGGTTTGTTCAGTTCTGCTATGAACCTATCAAGCAGATTATCAATACTTGCATGAATGATCAAAAGGACAAGTTGTGGCCCATGTTAACAAAGTTAAACGTGACAATGAAGTCTGACGAAAAAGAATTGATGGGGAAGGCATTGATGAAACGTGTTATGCAGACATGGCTTCCTGCAAGTACTGCCCTGCTTGAAATGATGATCCATCATCTTCCTTCTCCTGCCACGGCTCAGAAGTACCGTGTTGAGAACTTGTATGAGGGGCCTCTTGATGATCAGTATGCTAATGCTATCAGGAATTGTGATCCTGAGGGGCCACTTATGCTCTATGTTTCTAAGATGATTCCTGCTTCTGACAAGGGTCGGTTCTTTGCCTTTGGACGTGTGTTTGCTGGGAAGGTTTCCACAGGTGTGAAGGTCAGAATTATGGGTCCTAACTATGTCCCTGGAGAGAAGAAGGATCTGTATGTTAAAAATGTCCAGAGAACTGTTATCTGGATGGGTAAGAAGCAGGAAACTGTTGAGGATGTGCCATGTGGAAACACTGTTGCTATGGTTGGTTTGGATCAGTTTATTACCAAGAATGCCACCTTGACAAATGAGAAGGAAGTTGATGCTCACCCAATCAGGGCCATGAAGTTCTCTGTCTCCCCTGTTGTGCGTGTTGCTGTACAGTGTAAGGTTGCATCTGATCTTCCCAAGCTTGTGGAAGGGTTGAAGCGTCTTGCCAAGTCCGACCCTATGGTTGTCTGTACCATTGAGGAGTCTGGAGAACACATTATTGCTGGTGCTGGAGAGTTGCACCTGGAGATCTGTTTGAAGGATCTGCAAGACGATTTCATGGGTGGTGCCGAAATTATCAAGTCCGATCCAGTGGTCTCATTCCGTGAAACTGTTCTTGAGAAATCTAGTCGCACAGTGATGAGCAAGTCTCCCAACAAGCACAACCGTCTTTACATGGAAGCCAGGCCTTTGGAAGAGGGACTTCCTGAAGCAATTGATGATGGTCGTATTGGTCCAAGGGATGACCCCAAGGTTCGTTCTAAGATCCTGTCAGAAGAGTTTGGATGGGATAAAGATCTTGCAAAGAAGATCTGGTGCTTTGGTCCTGAAACTACTGGTCCGAACATGGTTGTTGATATGTGTAAGGGAGTTCAGTACCTTAATGAAATCAAGGATTCAGTTGTTGCTGGTTTCCAGTGGGCTTCAAAGGAGGGTGCATTGGCTGAAGAAAACATGAGAGGTATCTGCTTTGAGGTTTGTGATGTTGTTCTTCATGCTGATGCCATTCACAGAGGTGGAGGCCAGGTTATTCCAACTGCTAGGAGGGTTATCTATGCTTCTCAACTTACTGCCAAGCCCCGTCTTCTTGAACCTGTTTACCTTGTGGAGATCCAAGCTCCTGAACAAGCTCTTGGTGGTATCTACAGTGTGTTGAATCAGAAACGTGGGCATGTCTTTGAAGAAATGCAGAGGCCAGGAACACCACTTTACAACATCAAGGCTTATCTTCCTGTCATTGAGTCTTTTGGTTTCTCAGGTACATTGAGAGCTGCTACTTCTGGGCAGGCCTTCCCACAATGTGTGTTTGATCATTGGGACATGATGTCCTCTGATCCTTTGGAAGCTGGCTCCCAAGCTGCAGCCCACGTTGCTGAAATCAGGAAGAGGAAAGGTTTGAAGGAGCAGATGACACCACTTTCTGAGTATGAGGACAAGCTTTAAATAATCAGCTGGGATCAACTTTGGGTAGAGGAGATTTGATTACAGCAGTAAAGCTGGGCAGTATAATTTTGTTTTATGTTATTTTACTCTGGCTTTTGAAGAACTTTGAAAATGTTAGGTCGTTCGAGTGAGTTGTAGTTGCCCCTTGTTTTGTCCGGAGTCTTTTAGATGTTAGTGTCTTGGATGGCACTGATGTTGTGTTTTACTTAATGTTGGACAAAAGTTTCATAATTTACTCGCTGTTGCAACTTCTTTGTGGTTCTTTTTGTTACTGCTGCACGTCTGCCCTTATTTTTCTTCTGTGTTGATTTGATTCTGTCCCGGTGGATAGAGGCCCTTTTCCTTTTTAAGTTGAAAGTTGTGGACGGATTAGGTAAGGTTAATTGAGTTTTCCTTTGCTGTAATATGATCTGTTTACTTTCCGAGAGAGTTATGCATTAGAATTATATTTTGTGCTGTTGTAACATTGTTAGATTGTCATACTACTATGCTGCTGGAAGTAATTGTCCAGAAGTACCACAAGTATCACTGAAGGGTTCTAAATTTTGATTCTAGCAAATATCAGTAGTTGTCAATCTGTACTTATATGTAATTGGAAAACAAACACAATGGTCGAAATTAAATATAATTTTCTACAACTACTTGTTGAGCTAACATTGTATGCATGATACTAGTATTTCTTAAGATTCCTACAAGATTGTTTTCGGAAAAAAGAGAACCATACAAAAGAGGAAGTGCAAGGATCATGTGTTCCGAATATCAAAGGCCCAAACAAAAACATAATTCTAAAACTTGTAAACCTTGTCAATGATAAAAGGTATTTGAAAAGTACAGCTGAAGGATACATGAACAACCAAGAGCACCAGTAGTAGTTCTAGACTAATAAAATTGTCGGGGCTCAAGTCGTCTCTGCTAGGCGCCTCCGCAACACAAGTTGTAGATACAATTCTCAATGTAAAACAAGTTGGAGATACAATTTTCAGTGCGATTCAAATATGTAACCCCTTTATGATATTAGAATGAAGATCCGAAGGCTCAAAAGAATTTGAATCAGGCAATCGCTGAGTAGTTAGTCGGACACAACAGAAATTGGTGCCTTTGTACCCCGCAGAAGTCTACCTAGCTTGTGTAAAGCTGAAAAATTGATAGGCGTATTCTATGCTGTGGAGATTGATTTTGACTTTTGTCGAGGAGGTATATGAAGCCAGGTCTTCATCATGTCATATGCTGTGAAGCCTATTGCCACTGAAGGAACAATCTGACACAAGAAGTATCAAGGGAAAATCAATTAGCTAACAGAAAGTTCATACATAGAAACAACGATGCAATCCAACTAATGAAACCCTTCACTAACTACTGATTCTTAATAGCTGAAAATCACAACCCAGAAGATAAGTGTGTTCATAAACCATGTTGAAAACATGTAATTCATATAGCCCACTCCATGTAGTGGATTACCAAAGTTAACTTGACATGAAAAGAAAAAATTGCTACTTGGTAAAAAAAAAAAAGAAGCTTACATCAGCTTTGGCTTTGGATATCAGGGAAAGAAAACATTTCTGTGATGAACACAATCCAACAACTGAAACTACTCATACAATGATGTTTAGTGCAAGGAATTTATGGCTGGTATACACATGTAACGTACAAATACACACACACACACACACACTCTCAATATGTTCCATATTGCTTTAAACAATGTGTCCAGAAAGTAATCAGAGCACATTGATTATTGATGCATGTCAGGGCAAAAAAAAAAATGATACCTTAATATAGTTAATGCTGAGACCAGCGAATAACTGTCTCCAACCTTGATCACGAGCAATTGTTACTAGCCCATCCCATGTGCTCTTGTATTGTGCACCCAATTGTGATGTAGGGTGATGCTCAACCTAGAAAAGAAGCATGACACAAAGATGACATAGCATATTCCTGGAATAAAAGATGTGATCAATGTGTAGAATAACAACAGCAGTTCTATAGTTGTAGCAGTGGTCCCCATTGGCCAAATGTGATTCCAAAACTTCAACCCACAAACAGATTTGTATTGTGCTGAGAAGTAGGTAATGCATAACCACTTTCTTCATTCATAATGAAAGCACTAAAAGTAAATCTACTTAGAATGTTGCTGGGAGTGGACAAAGATGTTCAACTCCTTGAATAAAAGTCTATTATTCAAACCCCAAGAATCATTCACAGGATCACAAATTATGCAAGAGTGCAATTGACATGAGAAAGTATTACCACAAGAAGCACAAAGAAAATATGCCAGAAACACATCAAACTGCTCCAAAATAATTTAAATGCAAATTAGTCACCTGCATTTGTCTCCTGACTACGTCTAACGGATATGTAAAAGTTTGTCCAAATAAACCAGCCATGGCTCCACAAGATAGGCGCATCAAAATGGATGTTTGATGCTCTTCAGGGACACGCATTTTCAGTTCCTCGTAGATGTAAAACTTCAAGCCAGCATAGGGCAGGATACCAATCAGCGTTGGGCCTGAACAGATGTTATGGCGGAAGTTGTGATCTCAGCATTTCAAAACAAAAGAGATAAAAAAAGCAACACATGTCACCAGAAATTCGACAAGCTTAGAGAAAATTGAGGTAAACCATAAGTCTCAACTTCATGAAAATATACACGTCTATACCATGGCATCAGCTTCAATGTAATGCTGTGCAGTAAGATCAACACATAGACAATGAAGAAAGAGATTAACATGATCTAAGAAGTAAAATGTACATAAGCTACGTACCTACACCCCGATAAAGAGCACGAACTCCTCCTTGCTTGTAGACACTCTCTATCACATTTCTTATCCCAGTGTAAGCAGGCCGTGGGTACATATGCGCGGACAAATTTTGCCTCTTATCTACAACCTGTGAAAGATGCAAAAAATAACATGTTATATCCAATGAATCGGGAGATGTAAACAGCTTAAAATATGTCAACAAAACTATTGTCTTTATTTAGAGAAACAAAATTTATAACTCAAAGCCTGAAGTTTTTCTTCAATTAATACCTGATAGGCAAGTTTAGTTCGTGCCAAATCCAGAGGATAAGTACACAAAACCGCAGTTCCCCCGGCAGCTGAACCAGCTAAAAGATCTACGATTGGCCCCGTTCCAATGGCAGAATAGTTATCAAGAATCCAACTTCGGTACTGTTCATAGGTCATGAAATGTAATGCTGCGTATGGAACGATTCGAAGAACACTGGCTCCATTCCCTCTGAAAAAAGATAATAAAAGTGTTTTTAAGTAAAATGAGTAACAGTTAACTATATGACACAAGTGAACTCTGTAGTCGGGGGATTCAAACTTACTTATAGAATCCCTTAACACCTTCATGTTTCAATAGCTTCTTTAGAGTATGATAAATGCCAAGAGAATGAAATCCGGCCGTCCTTGTCTGCATTTAGGAATGGGGATGAGGATAGGGAGTTAGGAAATGACACAATGTTAGAAAGATTGAGCAATAAGGCAAGATACAACCAATCTAAATAAAGTCACCAACAACGTATTCAATCAACATCAAACTAAAAGTTGATATTCTAATGAAAAGAACTGAATAATACATTGACAAACCTCACACAGGAGTATCTAACAATAAGAGAGTGCAGGATGAACAAAGAGAAGGACAAGAAGACACCTGTAAGAGTATCTTAGTCCGTTCCAACGGAGCAACAGCTGTTTTAGCAAATGCACCGGCAGCTCCTCCAGCTATCAGCTCCTTCACGTACACAGGCAGATGGTCTAGGTAAGAAACCCTTTCACGCGCAGATGTTCCATCAACAAAGCCTGCCACTTTTGTGGACAGGGTAGAACCTTGGGAGGAACCCATCTCCGATTACTTATTTCCAAGATTGAATTATTATGTAAAAAACCCAAAAATAAAAAATAAAAATAAAATTGAATGCCCCTCTCAATCAAAATTACAGAAAAATTAATCGCCTTGCAATTGGTAAAATTCCTTATCCCATCTATCTCGTGGGATACAAAATGAGAAGACTTCCAGCTCAAATGGCAGAGCAAATGGCCTGAGAACACCCGGGAACCACCACCGTTTGTTCACAAGCCCAACCTCCTCTCCCGCAATGACAAGATACATCAAACAGATAAATCCCAAGAAAAATAGATCAAACACCGCACTAACAATCAACAACCCCTCAATTGGAAATACAGCCCCATGGATCTATATCAAAATTCATCACACCCCACCAAGAAGATTAGGTAGTAGAACCAAATCAAAAGATAACCCAAATCTTATTCTTCCCAAACTAATGGCCTTCGACTTATAATCAAAACCCAGAACGGTGTCAAGATTGAATCTTTTGGCTCAAACTCGATGAAACATACATGTGGTAGAAGGGAGATCAAAAGGGTATTCCTTACTTTCTCTTTTTAGCACGTTTATTCCACACAAAGTCAAATGATGATTGGGTTTGGAAATTTTCAACGACGAATCTCCCCTGGTTTCTGGGAATGTGAAGGCTTGATTTTTCTTCTTGGAAGATACAGCTGGATTTAGGCAAACAAAAATTTAATTGCAAATGTAATTTCTAAGATTCAAATAGTAATATTCGAATTGGAAAGAATTAGGGATCTATGAAATGGCGACGGTGGTGGTGCGGCGGCGGCAGCTGAAACCGCGCGGTGTTCGATCTTTTGACTTCTAAATTTGGGAATGACCGATGGACGGTGTGACCGGAGAGGTATTTATAATTTCGTTTTGATTAGATATTTGGATGCTACGAATTGACTTGAATTAACGCATTACATTATCGGATTCCCGCATTCATATAAAACTTTTTGTTTTTTTGTGTATAAAAATCAATGTTTAAAATTGCTAACTCGAATTCAAATCAAATTTCTTTTTTGATAAAACTTTCCCAAGTAATGGCAATAATTTTTTTTTTCTTTATTGGGGGAAAAGATTAATGATGGATCAATAAACCATATGTTTGTTACATGGATAGAGCAAAATATTTCGGGCAAAATTCACTTTCACTTTTTCTTGTTTGGAAAACTCTAGTTAGACCTTTTGGTGAGGACGTAGAAATGTAGAAAAGTTAATGGAAAAGATCTTCATGAATACTCCCTCCAATTCAATTTTTAGATCGTTTTAGGTTTGGAGAAATTTTTCAAAATGTAGTCTGTTTTATAAATTCTAGTCAAATTAATAACTATTTTTTCAACTTTACTCTCAAAAAATGATGTCTATCTAGTTTTATTTAGTCTTGTTTATAGTTTCAATGTAATTAATAAGGGGTAAAACAAATACTCCCTCCATTTCAAAATGTAGGTCGTTTTAGGTTTAGAGAGATTTTTCAAAATGTAGGTCGTTTTACAAATTTTAGGCAAACTTATGACTATTTTTTCAACTTTACCCTCAATAAATGATGTTAATTTATTTTTATTTAGTCCTGTTTATAGTTTCAACGTAATTAATGAGGGATAAAAAAGAAATTTAACACAAATTAATTGTTGGATGATTGTTCCTTAGTTTACGTGTCAATTCTAAAAAAATTTATATTTTAAAATGGAGGGAGTACTATTTAACACATAAAGTAATTGTTGAATGATTGTCTCCTTAGTTTACGTGCAAAGGCTAAAGAGACTTATATTTTGAAAAGGCTAAAGAGACTTATATTTTGAAAAGGCTAAAGAGACTTATATTTTGAAATGGAGGGAGTATTGCTTTGTGGTCAGTGTATTGATGTCTGTTTATAGTTTTCAGTTAATTGATATTTAATGTTAATTATTTCCTTTCAAATAATTTCATTTTCAAAATTTTTTTTCCCAATAATGAACATATATAAATGGCTCGGTAGGATTCCATAACACGAATTAAGAATATCAAACACTTGATATTTTCTATTGCATATGGATTGAAATTAAACAAAATAATGGTGACAACGAATAATACGAGTACATACTGATCTAAAAAAGTGTCCGACTGAAGTTTCTGGAAATATTTAAGAATCATCGACTCGTAAATAAAATGTAATTAAGTAAAGTTATTGAGAAATAATATGATCATGCGATTATTGGACGACTAAATTTGAGTCCATGCTACGCCTAGTATCCTGCTTTGTTGAAGCCCTAAAACTTTCTTACTATTTGGGACTAAATACAAACAAAAACAACATGGCCAAATCGACATGACAATAATGCATTCAGATTACGAAGATCCACCATAGCGTGTCATGTTTCATACATTTACTAAATTGTTGTGGAGCTAGTTAGATGAAGACCCACCTTTTATATATATATATTGGAAAAAGAAGCTGAACAAAAATCCTCTTTCCTTCTTAAAAAATAAAAATAAAAATAAAAAATCATCTTTCCATGACAACATGATAGCAATATCAAAAGACTACAAAATAATAAAAAAAAATTGTGAAAATGAATGATACAATTATTATCATAATAAATCCTTCCCTTCACAATATTTAAGAATCGTCGTTATGATTTATTTATGAGTTATGCCCATTAACATATATCTAAAACTAAAAAGCAAACTTGTCTTGAGATTGCAATAATTAAAGCTAAATGGAAATATAAATTCCTCAATCATTCTTAATCTACCAAAATATGATCGATGATTGTGGATCCTCTCTTGTTCTTGTTGATGTGCAGAATATTCTATACAATCTCGAGGATTTCAGTACAGAAATAACACCAACTGAAATTGATAAAAAGTCACCATCAGCAGAATAATTCAGTCAAATCAGAATCTGTTTTTTTCAGAACCAAAGTTCATATAAAGGCATAAGTTTGATTAGACAATCAAATATAGCGAGAAGCATACTGCATAAAGAAGATACTTCAGAGACAACATTTTCATTTTCGTTTCAATTATTAGTATAACAAAAATTTTAATTTGTCAAAAAAATCATATTGCAAATACAACAACTACTGGCAATATGATTCTCTATTTCTTTTTTCTTTCCTTTTTTTTTGTTCATCATTAAGTTGCAAAAATAAATAAAAACACTAACGTATTATTCCAAATTTTTAATCAAAATCAAAATCACGACAAATGAGTTTGTAATAAAATTATTAATGGAAACGATCCGTGATGGCTACCAAGACGCTGATGATGTTCTCAACCTTGCGTCGTTCCGCCTTAAGCCGTGCCGGTTCCGCCACGAAATCGTTGCCGCAAGTATCAACGTCGGTCAGAGCAGCCGATGCAAAATTCTTCAGGTCACCGGAGCGACCGGAACCCAAGGCGGATTTAGCTTGATTCAAGTCGGCAAAGGCGTCTTGGAAATTCTCCGAGCATGTTTGCAACTGTGCCTTCAATCTTGGTTGTCGGGCTTTCTTCAAAAGGGCTCCAATCAAATTGGACGTAGATCTAGAATTGGACTGGGCCTTTTCGATTGTGATTTGGGCTAACTCCTTAAGGGAAGCCCTAGCAAAACGAGGATCTGAGCGGAGAAAACTCAAACAAAATTGACGGTTTCCTGTCGTTTTGCAGATTGAATTAATCAAACTGCTGGACTTTTGTGCATGTATGGATACTGTAAAAGTATTGATCATCAGAAAAGCAACTCCAAGAAGGAATACAAGAAAGTATTTTGAACTCATTTTTTGTTTTTTCCCCTTCACTTCACAGAGAATTTTACTGTAATGTTTTGGGATTTTTGATGGTTGATTGAAATGAATGAAAACAAGGTTCTTGCAACTCTTAACGATTGCCTTTATATAGAAACTTACGTTTTGGTGTAGTAATTAGGAAAACATTTTCATATGTAAGAATGCAATCTCAAATATCAAATTGCTTGTTTTATGGAGATTTAGGTTTTAAATGTAATTGAAACTAACCGTAGTTGCATACTTTAAATATTGTTGTTTTTTTTTTGGTCAAAATGGGATCTTCTCTATCAATCATCATCAAAACTCTTAATTTGGGGAAAGAAAGAATATTTAAATAAAATGCTTGTTTTTAGGTTTAAAGAAAGGACTAGAGCCATTCAATTAATTTATGAACACAATCAAATCGAATTGGAATAATTCAAAAGCTAAGGTGTATTATCTCCATCCAAAAAAAAAATAATCCACATCTGAGTTTTGAGTTTTGTACTGTTTTTAGTACAAATTCGAAAACTCAAATGTGGACTATTTTTTTGGGACGGAGGGAGTATAAAATATATGTTGCGCTTTGTGAAGAATCAGAACATAGTTGCTGATACGGAGATTTTTTTGTTTTTTTTTGCCACATTTAAAAAAACTTCCCTCTTGGAATCAACTAAAATCATCATCAACTCTTTAAATTCTGTTATTCGAGAAAATACTTAAAGCCAATTTGACCAACATATCCACACGTGAATATTTCCTTCCTAGATGAAAGAGATGTTATCTACCAGTAAGTAGTCAAATTGGTCACTTCAACAATGATCAGTGAACCTACACCAGTACCATAAAAATTTTTCCGGGAGAAATTTCAAATATCTCAATAAAAAGACATATCCACTCAAATTAATCGAGATCAACCAGGATAATGAAGCCAACCCTAACTTTTTTTTAAAAAAAAAAAGAAAATAAAATAAAACAATATGCTTGTAATACACAATAGACGCACAAGAAGTACGATAACATTGTATACTTGTTTGTAAAGTGGATAAGCGATAAGTGACATTTTAGTTGATTACTTGGTATTGTTTCCGTTCTAAAATGATAATCAAATGTTCATATTATGTTTAACACAGTAAATAGACAATTATTTTAAGACAGAAACAGTAAGTATTAAGGTCGCAACACAGGAGTTCTTGCTATAGTCCGTGTGAAAAACACAATTGCAGTATTTGGTTTATCTCGCATTATCCTTATTAAACTTTTAAGGAATTAGTTCGAACAAATGAGTTCCAGAAGAAGTTCACTTCATTTTCCAGCAATTAATCCCAAGCTTTAGATCAGCACGAAAGGAATGAAGAAACCACCTTTTCTTCTTTCAAAATCAAGGAAGGAAAAAAAAAATCAACATGTAGTGTTAAATTTAGTTACTTCCTACAAATGCATTTCTTAAGGCTTCATCTCTCGGTCCCATCTGATCAACTGTACTACTACTCGGAATTGCATCCAGATCAATGCCGGAATTCTGTCTGGACAAAGCCACAGACGTCGTCTTCCGATGATACGCCGGGATCCGATTCCCTTTCTCGTCATAAAGAATCGCATCCTCATCATCTTCATCAGGGACTTTGCATTTCTCCCCTAATATAATCGTTTTCTTCCAGATGGAATCCTCGTGTTTCAATTTCTTGTCTCTGTTCTTCCTGTTCTGGTTATTATCATCGCCATTATTACTGTCGTGATCCTTTCTGGATAACAGCTTCGATCCAATCCCACTTCCCAACGCCCTCATACTCATGCTTGTTGGCAATTTCTTCAACTGGGATGATTTCGACGAGTTTGACGCCGTCGAATTCGACCGGACATGGTAAGAAGCCGCGCCCGGACCTTTCAAATTCTGTTTCCCCGGCGGCGGCGGCAATGGTTGCTGCAAGAATTCTTCGTTCCGGTCATCAGGGGAAGCAGAAGAATAGTCCATAGCCGGCGATCCATAGTTATTAGAAGAAATGTTATCGTCCGTTCGGGCGGGGGAAACGTGAATGTTATGATTATCTCTGTTTTCTTCCATCTTCCCCTGATTCTGGACAGGAACAGGGGAAGTCAGGGTCTTTTTCCGGGATAATGCGCCGCATAGAGACGAAACCACGGCCACCGTGGCGGCGACGCTTGCTATAAACAATGAGATTGTTAAGAATGGATGGATTTCTACTGCATTTTGATCCTGGCCTTGAGGAAATTCCCTTCCCATAACTTGGGAGAAATGGGGATTTTTTATTTTTTTGTTCTTCCCTTTTTCCCTGTTTTTTTGGGAATGTTTTTTTCCTAGCTTTTTTAAACCTTTGAATCTATTGTTTCTTTATACAAGGATTGAAGTGGAGGTGAAGAATCAATAAAGATGGTATAATTGGTTGATTATAAATTGCGGGAGGTGAACTTAGGAAGTGAAAGATGATGAAATCCATGGGAGCTTCTGTTCATTGATTTTTCCTTTTTCCTCTTTTTGTTAGTTTTTTTTCGTGTTCTTTTGAGCGCCCGAAACAGATTCCATGTTTTGAGGACTTATGAGGTTTCAAAGTTGAGGCTGAAAACCAAAGTTTTTTCTCGTAATCCTATGTACAATGACATACCTACGTTAAATTTAGTTAATAATAACTAGTAACAAACTATAGTTTAACGTATCTAATTATGCGTTATATACCGTCTTCATCCCAAAATAAGAGCTACATTCATGACTATATTTTGGGACGGAGGTCAAAGTACAACAAAAGTCATTGAACCTTCACTTTTGTTTAAAGTGAATTGGACTTTCTTAGTCAATTGCACATAAATAGGGAAACTTAGTTCATACTCCAAAAAAGATTACAACCGTACTATATATAAGGATAATATATATATGAAGAATCACATCCACTCCTAGTCATGGACACATGGTCATTTGATGCTACAGAGTACTGGCTACAAGGTAGCCAAAAGCTTCACGTCAAGTTCAGACCGAAATCAGGGTTTTTTTTTTTTTTGGGCACAACAACAATGGTGATGATTAACTTAATTAGCCCCTCCATTCAACCTATTTACTCGCTGGTTCAGTATTGCTAGTTTCAAAAGTTACAATTCACTTCGAAAACACTGGTGCACCAATGTAATTTTCTAAGAATTGATTGCATTTTATAAATCATGCGAGTAATAACAGAGCCCCAACGCCATTTACTGATTTACGTTGATTTTTCTTTTTTTTTTTATTATTTTTTTTTAATTTTTATTCTAACCACCGTTATCATTACGAGTGTTAAGGAACTAAGAATCAATTCTTACAATATCATTAACCAGTCAAAGTGAAAGTCCTGTTGGTGGGGGAATCCAACTGGGCAAGCTCTCATGCATTCAACGTTGTTATTAATATCTTTGTGTATAATGAAGGAGGTCGGTAGCCTAAAATACTACACGATCATGTCACATACTAAAATATGACACGATCATGAACGTTGTAAAATTACATGTTTATAGAAATTTGTTAGTTCCAAACATTTTAAATCACAAGGGCCGCAGCCTAATTAATGCTTTTAAGGTGGGAACTTCTAGTCTTCTACTATCATGTACACAGGCCAAGTAAGGAAAAAGGTGGCTTTTTACCCAACATGGACACATTTTGATCCTATGAACTAAAGAGTATCAAATATATATGAGCAAGTATCATGCTTTGATTGGTTTTTTGACTAGGAAAATACCCTCATCTAAAGAAAACTTTGAATACCAGGATTCATCTAGACTGTTCAATGATTAATTTTGCGTCAAGAAACATTGGAAATACATGGATCTAGACTCTTTATGTCAAGGTCGGAATCACTCTTTTAATCCTTGGACCAAAAAGCTATGCAATTTATTAATTTTGCTTTCAACAAATTCATTCTAATCTGGAGGGCTAGTAGTATCAAGTCTCAATTTCCCTTCCTCCCTAATTCCTGTTGCGCTTTCACCTTATAATCTGTGGCGCTTCATAATATTAAACTTCACCTTGAAATTTTTTCTTAACAATTTTAAGATATGAAAAATTAAGTTCCAAACAATCAAGCTATTACATTACATGGAATCAGAGGCATCAAGGGTTTCTTAGTTTATACACGGTTTAGTATCAGAGAGTAGACACCAAACAAGCATTAGAAGTCATTTGAGTTTTGACCTTTAGCCAGTAAAGATATCAAATACTCTGTTATAAAGTAGATTATTAAAATGAGACAGAAAAAATACATTTTTAATTAGCTATATGTTATGAGAATAGCATGGAATCATTCATGGCGTAGAGGAGGTGATCTAACTAATAATTTCCAGAGGTTCTTCGAAACAGTGATGGCCGTGGAAGGAGTCTTGCCCCCATCGTCAGAGAGAGTTAAAAAAAAAGAAAGAAAAAGAGCAGTTTATGGCACTACCAAATAAAGGAAAGACCTAACCTAACTAGGGTTATGAAGTCAAGCAAACCCCAATTTTTTTTTTTTTTTTGGTTACAATGAAAGAAATGAATATTTCCTTCCGTCCTATAATTAATGTCTTGTTTTTAGCAATTTTAATATAACTATTATTTTAAGAAAAAAAATTCTTTCGAACACAAACGAAGAATTACTCAACTAGAAACAAACACCACGGAGTCCTACCGAAAGACCAATATCAACGTAATTCATTTTGTAATTCAAATATTCAATACCACACCAGAGATATACATTATTAGGATCCTTGTTATAATCCAATCCAGCAAGCAAAGACAGGTCATAGATCATAGCCTAGCATATACTAAAGTTATAGATACAAATTTTTATTTTCTATTTTTTGGTGATATTATAGATAAATTTTTCGCTCGTGAATCATGATACATTGATTTTTTTCACAATGTTTTTTCTAAAACAATTACCAGTTAAATTTAATTCAACAAAGCAGATTGTTCATACAAAACAAAACGAGTGATTTGTTTGGCTTCAATGTATAGCCAATAATCCATTACCATACTCTTTTCATTCCATGTTACAGGACAAAAAGAAACATTAAAGTCTCATATGTTTGATAGAGTTCCATTTTATTTATTATGATATACCGAAAAAGTCCCTTACATTTAAATTTTGTTAACAAATAACCAAGTTATATGATAATATGGATTATTGCAGAATTAATGCCACAAATTGACCCAATATTCGGGTAATCCATGTGAATGCAAACAAAAGAAAAGGACATCAATCCATGCAAAAAACGGGAACAGACGATTTCTATACAGAGGAAGAGTTGAGAAGAAAATGATTTTATAAAGATTAATTGTGAGATATACACTTTTTATAGCTAAAGACATTATTATCGGTGTTTCTTATCTATGCAGTGTTATTATTTAGGTGTTTTGTTTCCTCCACTGTACCGAAAAAAATTACTACCAATATCTTTACAAAATTTAAATTAAACCATATGAAAAACTAATTGAACATATGTCAATTGTTTAAATTAAAGCATGTCATTAGAAAATGTATCACAAAAAGTGTCATATAAAATATTTTGTCAAACAAATATGGTATTAAGGGGATGAGAGACCTTTGGATGACATGTTCTGTATCTTCTTCTTTTTTTTTCTTTTCTTTCTCCTTTTAATCTTCGAATCCTATTATTAGCAATAAGATAAATTTTTCTAAAAAGAAGAAGAAGAAGACTTACTGCATGTATTTGAGATTGACTAATGAAAGAAGACTTACTAATGAAAGAAGTGATCCATTACACATCTAGGGGAGGTTTTACTCAAAAAACATCTTCAAAACGAAACATATTGCTGATGTGATTTTAGTTTTTAAGGTTAAAGATGTCTAATTGTCTACTTTCACAAGCATTTTTTTTATTGAACATTTTATGGTCAAAATAAGTATTAATATTAATAGGGACCAATAGTACAAATGTTATAGGTGATTGTCTCTTTTATTGTTCTCATATTCTTGTTATAATTTTAAAATCCTTGAAAATATTATTATAGATGATATTTTGAAATTAGAAAACTGTTATGATTTCTGAGTTTTACACTATTCCAAAATGATTTGTCTGAGATACTTATAATAAGCCCGACAATCATTTTTAACTAAAAAAATGGAGAATCAGCTTAGTGTGGAAGTAATGCTTAAGTTAGAACAAAATGGATCTTTTATTACTTTTTCTTTTCTTTCTTTTCTCTTTTGAGGATTCTTAATTACACTTGTAAAGCAATTGCTATACTACTAATTGAAATTAATTAATTCATATGGAAAAAGCCGACAAAATTAACAAGGAAGGAGTCATCAAAGTGGGGTTTAGTGCCGTCACCTGTGTTGTGCATAAATGAATAAGTATATTTTCAAAGGCTCGCTCTTTTTAGCTTTAACTCGAGAGATTGCTCTTGTTAATCCATTCAAGAAAGGCCCAGATTGTCTTTTCCATCAACTCGTAGTTTTCACTTTCTGATTTGGTTCACCCCCATTCAGCCTAAAAAAAGTAACATTACTTCACGTAGTTGAATTCCCTTTTCTTGAGAACAGAGTGTTTTGTTTCTAGATACAAGAATTTTAATAATGGATAGCAGCAATACTACAAGAACCCAATTTAAGAGAATCTGTGTTTTCTGCGGCAGCAACCCGGGCCACAGGAAAGTCTTCAGCGATGCTGCTGTTGAATTGGGCAATGAACTGGTTGGTTTTTACTCTTATTTATGATGGGATAAGGCGACTGCCTTAATATTTGATTGATTGACTGTTTTTGGTTGATGTTCGTTTTTTTGTAAATTGATTGTCGCATTTGCAGTTGGATTAGTATGAATTTCTCAATTGGGTTTTTGATGTTTTTGAAAAAGTTTCAGTCTTTGCAATAGGAGGGACTATTTAGTATTTAACCTCTGGCAAACTAACGTAAAATTTAGTGAAATTGTGTTTAGTTTTGGAGTCATGTAATGGTGGGTTGTATCTCTGTAGTAAACTGGTCTTCCACAATTTGACGTTGGTAGTTTCTCCAAGGTTCAAAGATTGGTTATCTTGGTACTGTGGATTGAGTTCTTCTTGTGGTCTTTGGGAATGGATTGGTTTTCTTCTCAGTTTGACTATTTCCATAGTGTTTGTAGGGTCTTGCTATTTGACTTTGTGAATATTTCATTTCAGGTCACTCGGAAGATAGATTTGGTTTATGGTGGTGGAAGTGTTGGTTTGATGGGGATGATCTCCCAGAGAGTGTTTGATGGAAATTGCCATGTTCTTGGGTAAAGAGTTTACTTTAATTAGTTTTGGTAGTACGATGTGAGACTGTTTATCATTTTGAAGATTGGAGCTTTATCGATGTAAGGATTATTCTCCCACAGTCCCACTAATTATTTATTTTGATTAACATGCAGGGTGATTCCAAAAGCTCTAGTACCGATTGAGGTATGAATCCTCCTGTTAATTGTTTTCCTTGGGAACAGTAGTTGTTGAATTTCAAGTCACATTCTTCAGCTTCTATCATTTGTTTCTTGTAAAAATTTATCAAATGATATCTTGAAATTGTAAAATTCACCATAGATCTTTGATTCTGGTCACGGTGGGCTGCGTAGATTGTGATTGTTCCTCTTGACTTGTGAAAGTATTTCCCAGTTGCTGGTTGTTCCTCTTTGACTTGTGAAAGTACTTTTCCAGTTGCTGGCTGTTGACCATGAAACATGTAACACTTCCACAAATGTGTTTTACTTGTGGATTTGATTTATTTTGCAATGAGGTTCATAGCCTACCGTATTGGTACTAATTTTCTTAGCGAAATTAGACTTCGCGACTTTCTGTATCTTTCCTAGTTGAAAATGGGTATATTAACTCAATTGGCTTAACAGATCTCCGGTCAAACTGTTGGGGAAGTACGAATTGTTGCAGACATGCATGAGCGTAAAGCTGAAATGGCGCGAGAGGCTGAAGCTTTTATTGCTCTTCCTGGTAATCTCCGAACAAGATAATGGATTTGGGGATTTATTGCTTATGTGACTGAGATATGAACCCTATCTTTTCATAGGTGGTTATGGAACTATGGAAGAAACATTGGAGATGATAACATGGTCACAACTTGGCATCCACAAAAAACCAGTCAGTCTTGAATTGTGTGTTCATTCTCTGAATAAATTTATATATCTCAATGTCTTAACTACTGAATTGTTCATACAGGTAGGCTTACTCAATGTAGATGGTTACTATAACTCTTTGCTAGCATTGTTTGATAATGGTGTTCAAGAAGGCTTCATCAAACCAGGTGCTCGTCAAATAGTAATTTCTGCTCCAACGGCAAAAGAATTATTAGATAAAATGGAGGTACTCGTTAACCATCACTCCGTTTGATGTTCTGTCCATGAACTAGATATAGCTATCCTATATTAGAATTCTCTACCGGTGGTTAAGCTAGTATATTTTTTATCAGTTCTGCCATGAAGGATTAGCTGTTTCATTCATGGCTTTTAATTGGGTCAGATTATTATTCATAAGTAACTAATCGGTGTATTGTTTTTTTTTTTTTTTTTCGTTTTCATCTTTACTGCGCCTATGCAGCAATACATTCCTTCCCATAATCAAGTTGCCCCTCAAGAGAGCTGGAAAATGAAGGAACTGGGGAGCTATCCAAGTGAGAAAAATCCCAAGTGAAATCCTAGTTTGTGGTAGGCCAATCTCCAGAGTAGATTCCTGATATGAAACATCATTATTTGAGTTTGTGTGAGATTCTGGTCATTTGGGGCCACAGATAATACATTACTATGTGACCCCTAAATCATTCTTTTGATTGAAATAGAATTTTCATATCTGTTTGGTACAGCTAACTCTGATTAATGTTATCAGATAATTCAGATAGTGAACTCTCTTATTTGTTTTTCATATTGGTAGTTGATCATTTGGCCAAAACACAGTAACACAGTGCCTTGTGAAACTGTTTAGATGGTCCCATTAAGCAGTGAAATTCACCACATTTGAATGGCTATAGTTAGAACTTAGAGCTTATCTCCTTAACAACTCAAACTTATTCCTGTCCACAAATTTAAGAAAAAAGTAAAAAATCAGCTGCAGGTTTGATTCTGATTTATGCACTTTTATGATGATTCATTGATTCCTGCGTTTGTTACTTTTGAGAAGAATTTGTTATTCTCAAAACTAATTTTTTCCCCTTTTGGACATACTAAAAAAGTTGAAGTTCTAACCTGATAAGGGGTTTGACTTGAGAGAATTCTTTACTTTAAAATGGCAGCTTGATGTTGAGTGCTTTTGGTTAAGGAGTGGGTGAGGTTATTTTACTAATGCAACACTTGTTGGGTCAAGGGAATAGGAGTTTGAAATACTTTAGGCAAGGTTTCGAGTTTGAGTGTTATGAATGAAAAAGTTAATATTAGATAATATGCGTTTGGAACGAGTATATATAAGATTAATTTAAGTGTAACGGGTACTAGTTTAGTACAACTCATGGTTTTTGATTGATTCAAACTAATGCAACTAAGGAGATGATGAAAATGATACCCAACCTCCCACTGGCTGGGATTGACAAGTAGCACTTGGAATGTACTACTGTTTTAGTTAAAAGGAACCGCGTTAGGTAGCCAAAGCTTGCGTGTCTTGAGGCATGTCATTTACTGAAAGTTGAAAGGCTCAACTGGATGGTGACCTCTTGTTTGTTTCACTTCTTTCAAACTAGTGTTATCTTAAACATTTAATTATCACTTACTAAGTGTAGAATCATATAGATACGTACTAATCAAAACGATGTGATTTATAGTTTATATTCCGTTCCAAAATAATCGTTCTGTTTATAAAGAATAATAGAAGGAATTGCCCTTAAAAAGGTTGAAACACTAGAAAACCAGGACATAAGCCATAATTTTCTTCTTCCATCCTGTTGAGTTGAGCCCATGCTTTACATTATTAGTGCGAGGCCGCATTAACAATTCCCAAATCCCAATCCTCACCTTTTCCATGTCTAACCCAGAAAAGCTTTGGCTAAAAAGTTCTAGATTTGAAAGAAGTGACAGCATTATTGATGTGAGACGTATGATTTCATCACTGAAAATAAAGCAAAGAGAAGGCAGAATGATTTGGAGGAATTGTACCAACGTTGTCTTGTCTTTAAATAGATAGGGCCTCATAAGTCCTCCAAGTCCTACTTATGTAAATTGGAAGTTTAGATAATATTATTGTAGCTCCCACATGTCCTACTTCTTTAGGCCTCTTTGCATGTGCCATTTTGCAGGGCCTTGCCTCTAATTGCCTTGCCCGTACTCCTTGGTAGTTGCTAGTTAGAACTTAGCAGTGGTTGCCTAGCACAGGCGTGCCCAAGAAATTAGAATTTTCGTTTTGGGACGACATTTTAGTATTTGTTAGACTCTTATTTTGGGACGATAATAGTACATTTATTGGTTTTGTCGAAGGGGAGGAAATACATTTTCTTTCCAATTCTTTTTATAAAGAAAAGTGGAGAAAACATTTGTAAATACAGACAATAGAATATGGAGTATCTAACTTTAAAAAATAAAAATAAAAATAAGAAATGGAGAAGTTGACAAATCTTACATCTATACTGTCTAACAAAATTATTTGAGACGAAATTTTTTTTTTTGGGTAAACTGTAAATATTTCATTAATTGGAAAATAGAGCATATTTACAACCAAATAATGTCTCTATTACAAACTCATCCACTACTCTGTATATTTACTACTATACACTTAAAATATTTCGGCCAAAATTGTTTCTTGATGCCTAGTTCTTTTCAGTCCAAGGCATAGCTCAGTTCTCCAGCGGACTTCCTGAGTGATTAACTTCGACAGACAGTTCTCCAACAAAATTATGTGGGACGAAATTGGTAATATTCATTTCAAGATAACCCGAGTCAGATCTAAATTATATTTGCAAATGATCAAATGGAAAGAAATTCGTAAAAAGATATAACACGTCACCTTCAGAACTTTTTTGAGCCGAATGTAAACTATTTGTTGGGAAACGATCAAAAAGTTCTACAAGCCGGTTGGATCCAGACTAGTTAAACCGAGCGAGAGGTCTAATACAATAGAATCATTCAATCCACAGCTAGTTGACAACGACCAGAATTAAGTCCAAAATTCTTATTCATTAACCTCAGGTTTAGAAAAATGATGAAAGGAATGGAGAGGCGCACATTGTTGAACTTGCGTGATGTTATTCCCATTAACAACGCGGTGGTTTTAGAACAGTGAAACTTTGAAAGAGCTGCACGTGAAAAAAATGGTGTGGTTTTACCCAAAAATTTTGGTGTTAAGTTCTTATTGGCTCAGCCAATTTTTAAGACCTATTCCAATAACATCGATTGCAATTGCTAGCAACTGTTCCACTGTTCCTTTGTTATTGAGGCGTTATTTCTGTTCATCTATGCAATAATCGATCAACCTGCCAGGAGAAGCCCAGCATATTGTAAGAAATGGACGCTAACCAATTGCGGTAGGGGCATCATAAAAGTCGGCAGGCCCTCCCTTGTCCTCAAAATTTTAGAGAGACTCCCCCTCGGAGATGACCCCATTTTTGTGCTTCTTCCGAGCAGCAATATTTTGCCCTTTCACCACCTCAGTGGGTTTTGGTCGGACAATATATCCAAAGCTCAAAACTTGGGACGTGGAAATTGGAAAACCCTTGAAAACAAGCTTCACAAGTTGCACAACTAAGTAGTCATAATCTAGAAATGGCTTTTTTCCCTTTGCTTTTGGTTCCATATTTTGTCAAATCAAAAGTAGTAGTCTCATGATCATGAACTAAAGCAAGTGAATCATGGGTACAAGGAAACAAAAGAGGGATCAATAATGCACTCCTGATTGCCGTTCAAACTCCACCCAACTGTCAGTTGTTGAGCAGAAAATACTTTCAAATCCACCCTGTACACTCCATAATCAAGAAGAGAACGAATACCTAAGTTTCTGTGTCAGCTCATTTACAGTAGCACTGCAGCAGCTAAAGCAGGGACAGTTTTCCATCTGAGTTGGATACTTCAAGGTTTTGCTTTGGGAGACGTCATTAGATGATGCAATGTACTTGCTTGAATAACAGTACTGTGATTCTGTTCTCTAGGTCGTGTGGAACTTGAATGCCTGAGGCCAGCGTTTCTCTCTACACTGCTTAATAAAATGCGTCGCCACGGGCGTGGAAGGTACCGAACTAGCCTTGCAGAAGCTACTAGCAAAACCACACCAGAAATGATGAACAACCTGCGTAACAAACATCAAGTGTCTTAGCTTAGAACCTCAAAAGCAGAAGCAGGAGAAAGATATGCAAGAAACAGGAGAAAGCAATAACTCCGACCCCATACATTTTTCCACAAGTACAAGACAGATTCATAACACTTGGCAACATGTACTACTTATCCGAGTAATAAATAAGAAAGGTCCACAACTGAAGATAATCACCACTTACCACCCCAGCAAAAGACAAAAACGAGCAACAGGTGCTGAAGGCAACTGTTCACCCAAAGCAAGCATACCAGCCAGTACACCGGTCACAATCGATGCAACAGCAGCACAAGTGGACACAACAATGGCCCTGCCGTGCTTCAAACCCCTTGTCTGTTTAATTAGAAAAACATTATTAGAGTTTTAACATAGAGATGGATTCCACAGTAGCCACACAAAAGAATCATTTCACCTTCCAAATGTTTTGATGGGCCTAAGAAGAAGAGTTCTAAAGTGGCTCCCATTGAAAACAAAAAATAAAAATGTTGACACCAACAATATATGGTGTATATTCTTTGTTTTAGGTAGACCAAACTATTCTCTTAAGACCAATAACCACAGAAATACAAAGAAACATACTTGATTCAACAGATAAAAATTTAGTAGCTGTGATGGATGCGTGGTGGAGTTACCTGATAAACAAATCCAAAAGCGCTGCAGCATATACTCATTGAAATGCATACGGGAACTATTAATTTTGAGAGCCCCTGCTCCAACAGCACAAATCCTATCTTGGATATTACCGACGATATCCTGCAGCCAGATCAAACAAATTTCTAAGTAGTAGTCGAAGAATCAAAGAGCATGATTGAGGCAGGGTATCAAAAGTAAATGCAATATAACATTTTCATGCCAGAGGTTATAAACAGCGCTTTCAAGAAAGTAAATGCCTCATGGAAGACAATGTTTTTTATGTCTTATTTCCGCCAAAGGGCTTCTAAGAACGCAACAAGGGAAATCAACACCTCAACTAATTAACAAGGCTTCACAAAAGACCGAACAGCTGGAGATCTCAAATCTAAAGCATATTTAGAAAAGGAACAGAACCAAAATACTTCTAACAAAGCTCTCAATGCATACACATGGCTAGAAGTAATGATGGAACAAAAACCAACTGCATGGCTATAATCTCTACAGAAGTCAAAAGAAAAACCAGATAGAGAAACTTAAAAAAATAAAGAAGATGGCTTGAGGAAATACCCAAACAAAATGCCAGATTCCAAGCCATAAATTACTTCCTCAATAACTTCATATTGCACCTGCATGATAGGAAAACATAAAGCGGGTGAAGGGATCCGAAATCGTAAAACACATAAAAGATCAGTCAGAGGAACCACTGAAATTCAAAACAATATTGACAAATAAAAATTGAAGAGTGAAGACTCAAGTAGACTCACCAATTCTTGCTCTCTTCGATGACGTCGGTATATTCGAAGCCATCCATTGAGAAGAACCTGCCATTAGTACATTAGTTAAAAAGCAAGTTTTAAATCTAGTATTTCAGTTCAAGAAAGACGAGTAGTTGCTGATAACATAAAAAACTTCAGTTCAGCGAAAGGACACCAAATGTAGATAAACCTCCGTATGCAAAGGAGACAGAAACTCCGTATGCAAAGGAAAAAGAGATTAGGAACTTACCCGGCAAATTTAGATATTCAGATTTGGACTTTAGCTTTTTACATTTGTTTGAACCACTTTTCTTTAACTTCTATTATATGTACTCATACTAACCGTAACTAATATACTCAGGACGGAAGTCAGCTATCAAGATAGGTATAATCTTCCAAGAGACCTTCAATTACTCAATTTTTAATCACAATGTTTCAAGCAATATACAAAAATCATAGATACTGATGAACTTGTCGTTTTGATATTACCCTAAACATAAATTATACAAAGAATAGTTAGCTTCAGTAAGGCCTTGTATTTCAATAATTGCCAGCACTAATCAGTGTGTATTCAACAAACACAAGATATTAATTTTTAAGTAATTCTTCAAGTAAAAAACATACATTAACGACCACGCCCATGTCCAGGTACTAAGAGGCTCAGTCACGCAATTATGTTCTCAACTGTCTAGCCTTCAGGTTAAATTCACACCCAAGAAAACTAGCCTATAAATTCAATCAAAAGCCAGATCTCAAAACAAATATGGAAATTAGATTTAATATAGTGAATTTCATCAAACATAATATTTTCTTTATCACAATAATTATTCATTTAGTATCTAATCACCAGTCAAGTTAACAATTTATCTGCCTGTAGACGCCCTTATGCTTCCAGTTTGGTTTACGATAACAAATCTCCAAAGTTTAAAAGTACAAGGACCTACAGGGTCAAATTTGCATTCATGACATAACCATTACATTATAGTTCAGTCCATAACATATTTAAAAACAAATTATATAATACATTTGACTTGTTTCAGCTCCTTTAATATACGTCAATAAACTACATGCATTGGAAGGGCAACAGCAGTTTGACCTTATACTTCGATAAAGACACAGTCATTCCAGCAATTAATACAAAAAACTCATTTTACTAGAAATGCCTGTGAAATGAATTTTTATAAGATGTGATTAGGGTAAGATACCTACAAACAAGATAGCAACGCCACACGCTAGCCACAGGATACGGAAAATTGAGATGGAGGATGACTTTTGCTCCTCTCCCCCAGCTCCAACACCTACAAGGAAAAGATAACAAACAAGAAAACTTAGAGCCCAATACGTAAAGGAGTTTAAACTAGCCGTGCTAGATGCTCAAATTTTGCAGATGTATTGCTCGGAAAAATAAAGGAAATAGCGAATAAAATCTCAAGCACTAGAAGACCAAACAGTCATGAGAGGCAAGCAATTAGCATGCTCATACCACACTCAAAACAGGATCTTTTAGGAGGCATTATCTTTAGTCCCATTTCCATAGAAGAATCATCAGTGATTTAAAATTGGAATACTTTCATGGAACTCGCTAGCTTAAAATACATTAATGTAAGCTCTAGAAAACTAGAAAGTTCTTTTCCTTGTCTGCTTTCTTCAATTCCAGCATGTCTTCATCTAGAATACATTCCGACTTTTAGCTGACAGCATATCATATAGAAGAGTAACACAAATATAAACATCACGAGATAGGAGCTTGAGGTGAAAGGGTTTGGGTGTCAGCTGCAGTAAACAGCACCTGATTGCCATGGTGTGAAGAACAGGGAAAAAAATATAATTACCAATTCCACACCTCCAAACCTTCTGACTTTTGCTCATATTTCACATGAAGACTAAGTTAAACATCGAAATTCATAATGATAAATATTACAGCTTTTTGCTGAAGTCAGATATTTTAAAGTTTGAATAGCTCCAACACCTTTGCAGAACCTAACCACTGCAGGATCAACTGTCTAACTTTAGTAGATATATAGCAACTGAAGAGGGTTGACCCTTCGAGCTTGTCAGAACTTGGATCTCAAAATTGACATGGAACCCAGCCATAGTGACATTTTCAGGAATAACTGAGGTCAAGGACTAATGTGGTCTGCACCACCTAGAACTTCCTCAGAATTCTATATAAAGGTAAGATAGCAATTGGCAATCAAGATCGCCTTCCAATGTGTTCAACAGTTTAGATGATTCATACCTCAATATGAAGATTAAAATGATGAATAAGAACCCACGATTTCTAGAAAGTAAAAGCTAAAATCACCTGCCGTGTACTCTCAAAAGAATGCACTCAAAAGATGTATGTATAAAGGGAACTTACATTACCTATGGTGCCGATACCGGCAAGAATAATTCCAATCCAGTCAACTGCGTTCATGATCTCTTTCAGATAAAAATGGGAAAACACTGAGAGTATAGCAAGTCCACAGCCAGAAACAGGTTGAATAACGGAAACCTGAGAAATTGGCAATGAGTTTCATCAATACCTAGACAGTTAATTAAGCAAGGTTTCTGCTCCCTGTGCAAAGACAATAATCGGCAGAAGAGGATCGCTAACTTGTGAAAAGTGATAAACAGGAATTATGATCTCGGATTCTAATTTCCCATAATTATTAACAAAGTTGCAGGTAGTAGCTCTTACTGGGGCCAGAGACAGTGCTCGCAGCATCAACATGGCTCCAAATATATCCATGATAAAACCCACAACCCAAGCTTTATTGGAAGCATATGCTCTTATAACCTGCAGGAATACGTCACAAATTGCAACAGCTTATTACCTTACATATCAAACTAGAGCCTGAAAATTCAGTTGATCAAATTCAACTTACTATCAAAGAACCTACAGTACTTATAAAGCACCGAATTCACAGATTAAACAAATTAAAGTTCTAAGGTACTCATTCATTGACTGTTAAACACCATCACCGGAAGACAAAACGACGAAAAAGGCCTATACTACTGAGCAAAGACACGTTCATGGTAGATTACTGCACAATTAAATGAAATCAATAGATCGAACATAGATCAATTTGGATTTTGGCCCTCTAGTTTTGCCACCCTTGCTCACACATGAATACTGTCAACCAACATTAAATCTAGTTCATGGTTTTCACCCAGTTCAAGAAGCTCAACACCACTCAGGCCATCAGGAAACTAACATCTTGATCAGGAAGATAAGCAAGAGTATGTCAGGCCAGTGGAACATTCCGGACAACCCAAAATTCATGGTCAACATAGTATCACAAATAATCCTAACAGTTCAACAAATAATAATGGAGTCTTAAAAGTGTATTTTAGATTTGATCCTTCATCTAACTTATACTAGCACCAAATTATTGATTTAAAATTCGTGCACCAGAACAACGAAGCAATAGATTTTATATCAAAGAACCAACAGTCAAACGGTAACTTAAACGGATGATTCTGCAACACCGAATAGTGATTACATTTTTCTGAAACAGCATTTTGATCCGAAATCTAAGATTGAAGAAACTGAAAAGGCATCCAATAAACTACCAGCAAGAATTCGGATTGAGCATAAACTAAATCAGTAAATCGAATACAAACAGGTCAACAGAAACGTAAAGAAATAGAGATGGAGATAGAATAAGAAAAAAAACCTTGAGCTTGAAAGAGAGAGGAGGGAGAATGAGGGTGCCTTTCTTCTGAAGAACTTTGCCGATGTTGTTGCCGGCGGTGGCTGCGACGGTTAAGCAGATCGATTCCCACATCTTTTTCTTTTTTGCCTTCACTTTTGCGCGCTCATACGCTTCCTCCTGGGTTTTCCCTTTGCTTTTTTTTTCTTTTTAATTTATTTAAGGTTGCATATTGCTTTCGCGTTTTGCAGGTATATTAGTTAACGCCAGGGCTATTTTTAGCTTCCATATCAAAACTTACATTCTTTTCCAAAAATACTCTTATAAAGTCAAATTACTATTTTTTTTCCCTCTCACAGCTCTCTTAAATCTCAGAAAACTAAATATATTTATCTCCTGTTTGGATATTCTTTAAATACTTTTGATCCAAAATGCATTACCGTTGATTTTACTTGACTATAAATGCTTTTGATCCAAAACCAACTTCATAGGGTCCCGTTTGAGAATCAAATACCAGAGCTATACATATAAAGGTGCTCTGCATTAACGAGCTTGCAAACATACTGTTCTTTTAGGAACATAACAAGAAACTATCAACAAAAAGATTTTACACCACACATCTCTCTTCCAATGTGCAGTACTCAAATTCATTATAGTTCAACACTTTGCTGCTTTTAAGAAGAGTGTTTTTAAACACACATTCATTTGAAAACAATGAAATGTTTTAACTAGTAGAACAAGAAGCTCAAAAATTTCGACTGATACAAAATACCATAAACTGCTTTAATAAAATAAGAAGCATCCAAAAAGGTAAAGAACTACCCATTTGTTTTTATTAGTAGAATGACAAGAACTTAAAAATTTTGTTGCTACAGAATACCATAAAACAGTTGGGGAAATACTAGAAGCATTCAAGAGGTAACATCATTGTCCAACGATATTTGCAAAGCACACAAATCAGCTGTACATAATCTTTATTTCATATGGATTTCTTTTTCTATAAGGTAACAGTAAATTCAAACCTGCAATAATGAGACCAAAACATAAATTTGATTTTTATTTGTAAAGAGTTTAGATGAAAATCAAACACCAAAAATTAACGAAACAACAATAAATACCTGAAATTATGCTTCAATGCCATTGAAACTCATCACATGGAGTAGGTGGGAAATTCAAATCACAAAATTCATTGGATCTTTATCATCCAGATCTGTTGAGATTTGATTTTCACTCAAATTAATGGTGGCGATTTGGCTTGTCTGACTACTACCTTCTCCACATCTAGGGGTTACTCTCCTCAATCCTGCTTCAACAACTTCAAATTGTGACGGGTCTCTAGTTATTGAACTGAATCCTTTTGTCTTTTTTCCTTTAGATGGTCTTCCTCTACCTTGTTGCACCTCTGGCTCAAAATTCAATGGAGACTCCTCTTCGTTAACTAGTTCATGCAATTTTTCTTTAATATTTTTCTTCCCATTGAGAGGTATTTGCATGTATTTTCCCCCCAACCTACTAACTAATCCATGGTAGAGAGAATCACCATTATGCGCCTGGCCATCAATAAAAAAGAGAATCCCTTGTGTCAATGCGCCATTGCGGATGTATAGATGCTAAAGGTATTGATTTTCCTATCCAAGAACTTATTATGTGTGCACAAGGTAATCCCATAGTGGCCGTGAAACTACCACTACATGTCTTACTCATCTTGTGATTTTTAACCTCTCAAATTGTTGTTCTAACTTATCCAAGGCAAACAATGACAAACGGTACATAACTTGTCCGAAAAAGGGAACATTGCACTTGTGAGGAACTCGAATCCTTTCTTGTGCTATCCTTGCTTTAATTTCCTTAAGATCATTTTCAAGAAGAAGAGACATTCTCTGCTTGACCCCCAACAAATCTCTAGTAGAGATGAGTAAGTATCCTTTCAATTTTGAATGTGCACCTTTTGCTCTTGATGAAGAACAGGTTCCAAAATGTAACTTTCTATCTGTCCATGCACTAAAAAAATGTTCCTTGTATGGAATCCATGTATCTCGAAGATAGTTCAGATATTTTCCTTTTCATTGAATACAAGCTCCATCTCATGCCATGCTTGATTGAAAACCTCCTCTGTAGAAGAGTACACAACCCTATTCCATGCTGTCAAAAAGTCTTCCCAATCTTCTGTTTTTTCAAAATGAGGTTTACTTTTGGCAAGAATATTCTTCTCAATATGCCAAACACATAACAGATTTAAACAGTAGGGAAAACCTCTTTAATAGCTTTCATCAGTGCCAATTTTCTATTAGTTACAATAACAGAAGGACAAATTCCGTCACTGAACATTCTATCAAAAACACGTAATGCCCATTGTAATCTCCCTCCCCTTCTCCTCTTAAAAATGCAAAGTATGAATAAAATGACGTGTTAAAACTAGTCATACCAATAATCTCAAGTAATGGCATTTTATAACGGTTGGTCTTGTATGTGTAATCCATGACAAAAACAGTTGAATAACTCCTACTCAATGTAATCAACTCAGGATGTGCAAAAAATACATGAGTTAAACTACCTTTCCCATCATGCTTATAGTCAAATAGATATCCGGCCTCACCAAATTCTTCGAATAGGGCTTGAATGATAGAACGCCCTTGAAGGTTTTCCTTTGCAATTTTTCTTTTCCTATTGTAAACTTCTCAAGAAATAATCCGAGAATCAGGATTATTTTTCCGAATCAATGCGATTATTTTGCAAGGTGGATCTCCAGCTGTAGTCATATTGTTCACATCCAAGATCTCTTTTTCTGACAACACTCGCTCGGATGGGTACCTAGAGATATATTTAGAAGCTTCATGATTATGTGAATCACATTTGATGAATATTTTTCAAAAACCTTCTAGTTGCATCTTACCAGCTATTTGAAAAGGACAGCTACTAAGGCAAGTAGAAGTTCTCCTTTTTCTCTCTTTAATAGGGGTATTTACTCTATTCCGATATACTCCCCCTCTATCACATCCAATGACAACATATTTATTTGCTCTTGAACTTTTGATTGATAAGCTATAACCCTGAATTGAGTAAAATTCTTTCACCGCTTTTATGAGATCCTCGCGAGAACTATACACGGTAGCACGTAGGTTAGTTGTGTCCACTGCCGTCGCATTCTTTTGAATGATGGTAGGAACTGATATAGATAACCCATTATCTTCAACATTATAATGTGCCATGAGCTCTCAACCGGGGCTGTACAAGAAACAAAAGAATGAAAGCTATTGATCATACGCAATTGACAACATTAATCGACCTTGTGTATTGCCTTGAATGTGACCAAACACACACCGCAATCTTTTTGATTTTTTATAATCACATCACAACACTAACTTCTTGTTACTGTATTTAACAAATCAACAACTAGGTGAATAAATAGATGATTTAGGAGTAGTTATAACAAGCTGCACTATAACACATTGGATAAAAAAAAATGTCTTATTTTCCTCTCAAACAATACCTAACTAATTTAATTCCAATCAATCATTTATATAATGAGAGTACCTAATGTTATGATTATGAATTGCCTTACAATGATAATCAATAAATTAGGAGAAGAATATATCACATACCATAAAAAAAAAGTCCCTTCAAGCACACAAATATAGCAATATTGATTGATCTTTAAGGGGGATTAGAATACTGCCTTTCTCTAGAAAACAAAGCATAAAATACGATCATGTTAGATTAAATTCAAGAACTCCATAAAATTCACATGAATATTTAGTAGACTCATTCGGTATTTTTTTTTTCTTTATCTCAATAATCGAATGCAAATTTACTCATAAAAAAAGTTAGAAAATAAACCAACATCGAAGCATTAAAGAGCTTACTTGATATAATTGAAGATTGAACAACTCAAAGAAGAAACTTTTCAGCTTAGGGCTTTTTGTTTGGGTCGATAAGCTTTTTCTCTGTTTAAAGTGATGATAAATTGGAACTATTCGATATAGATGAAGATGCTGATTGTATACTCCAATCCTTGACATTGCGGCCCTTAATTTTATATTTTTGGAGGGAGGTTACTGAAAGGTTTTGGAGGAAAATTGATATGGAGAGGATTTCGGCGGGCAATCGGAGAAAGTTCACCGGAGATTAACGAGAGAGCCGTCAAAGGGAGAAAAAGAAAATATATAGAGATCGTTGACTTCATTAGGATACTTATGGAAAGAAACACAAGTTTGATCTGGAAGCTAAAAATAGCACTGACAATATCACTGACCAATTAGTTAATAGTAGTATTATATTGTATCACTTCATCAGCATATTCCTTTAAAAATGAAAAATAAAAAACAAATACGTAGATCAAAATTTAACATGATTTTTTCAGCACAACCAATGATGATTAGATATAAAAGTTATAGTATCTAAAAAGTATTTATATTGAAAATGACCAAAAAAAAAAAAGGAAAAAAACACTCGCAAACTATTTTCCTTTGTTAATGAGCCAGTCTAAAAAATAACTCTGCAACTTGTATCACTATTTTGGGACAAAGGATAATTGGAAGTTTTTTTGCCTTGCCTTCTGATCATAGTAGTAAGTATCGTACAATACGCGATACGTATTGCACGATACGTATTAAAATTAAGGATTTCGATACGTATCATGTTATGTATAGCAAACGTTTGTGTATCGGTCAATTACCAATACGTATCGTACGATACACGATACGATTGTGTATCGTACAATACAAAAACATAGGCAAAAAATAATTTTTTTCTTAAGAGAATTCAAATTGTTACTTCATAATAACCTTTAAATTTCAAATTAAGAGGGAATTTCATTTAATGTTTTTTAAAATAGATATTTTTTATTTATTTCTTTCATAAACATGATCTTTTTTAATTGATGATAAAATTGCTTAATATATTATAGTTTAAAAAAAATTAAAAATATTATTTTATTCATGTTAAATCAATGTAATACATGTTTATATAAATTTTTTCACTATTAAATTTATGAAAATAATAACAACTATTATGAAGAATAGTATTTATTACATAAGTTTTACGATCATTATTCATGTTATAAATAACTAATTTCTGTAACTTTCAAATAATCTTGAATCTAACTTAATCAATTTATTTGTTTATAACTGAACAATAAAAAAATATAAATATATCAATTACATATAGAGTTTATGATTTTTATTATTTATTATATATATTATTATATTAAAACGTATCTTACGGTATGATACACGATATGATACGCATATCATAAATTTAAGTTTTTGATACACGATACGTATCACAATTTGATAACCATGCTTTTGATTATCAGTTTTATGTAGAGTAAATAGGACTCGTCAAAGCTGATTAACTTTGAACCCATAATTT